TCTATAGAAAACCTCCCGGATTTTGGTTTTCATTACAGCAGCTTTTCAGGAACGAACGATGGGGAGTTTACAGCTTATCATATTGAAAAAAACACGTTACGTCATACAATACAAAGATGTGACAAGGCTTGATCCGATAAGCCAGCGAGCCCTTGTTTCTTTGCCCCCTTGCCCGCTCATGCTCACATCTACCTGTTTTTTAAGGTAAAGCGGAGCATTAAGTGATCATTTCTTTAAGTTATGGCATGATTTTAGTTCCCCAAAAGTTCCTTTTTTTAATTTAGCCTTATTGAGTTGATATGCGCGCAGAAAGTTCTCAGTTGTATGTTAATTCGACATTTTTGGTTACCAGCCCGCCATTTTTATAATTTCCTTTTTTCCTTACAGGTCACTGTTCTCGCTATCGTCATGGCAACTGATGAAAGAGAATCAAATACAGATCGCGCCAACGTGAGTATCCAATAACCCATTGCCTTCTGATTAATTTTTTACCATGTGGACTAAGATTGTTGTTGGGTTGCCAGGAGCCTATGACCGTGTGAAGCCACCGCTAGCGATCAGCAAGTGTTTTACGTCTTCGGTCTCTTTTTAGCACATTAGCCGCAATACAGAGTGTTGTAAGATTTGTACCTTAATGAAACGTTTTCCGATCGAGGCTTTTTAGGCATGGTTCTATTCGAAAACAACGACTGAGAGAAAGTGAACAGAGGACGACATCAATTTCCATCGAAAGAATACACAATATTGTGAAATAAAGTTAAGCAGAGCAAAGTAGATAAATTAACTAAGTTGCATATAATGTTTTGCATTCAACCTCCTTCTCTTTTTTATGAATTCGATCGTGATTTGGTGAAATATGTACAAAATTATTTAACAATGACACCACTTGCATCTTGAAAAGCTTATGTCCTAAGAAGCTCCATGCCCCGAGCTCAAAATTATCCTATATTGCCATCAATGACACTCATTTCCAGGTACGGCAGATCAGTTTGACCTATTTTGCAGAAAATGCTAAAAATTAAACAGTGAACCACCAGTGAACCCTTTTTTCGGTTTTTGCCCCCTCCCCCCCCACTTTTTCTCGATCCCCAGTTTTCTCAACGCTTCTCTGTGCCTGATTGCTGGGACGCTAAAGATCTTGCTCAATGAAATGAAAAAATACTCTCATCTCTGCTTACACGCTCTTTTTATAAGGAACCACTTTATAAGGAACCTAACCTACATGTAGAAGGCCGAAATATTTAAAGAACTTATACTAATAGAAACGAAATCCCTAAGGAACTTTTCAATTTGAAAAATTTTATAACTGCAAGCATCAAGAACTAAAAAGCTGGTTCCCTTCATTTGCAGCCAATACTCACATCGATTGTTTGCTATTCGTCGTGTGTCAAGTGCTTCATTGAGTAGTTTCCGCATATGCTGAATCGCCCCTCTCTATTTAGTGTTAAGACTTATTGTAGTCAAAGCAAATTAAGGAACTATTAAAGAACTTTTGGTACTACAGTTTGATGATTTGAGGTCTACGAATAAGGAACTGTTGGAACAGGGCCTTGAGGTAGGTTCCTTATAAAAAAAGCGTTTAGGTTTAAAATGCCATTCTTCAAACTGCAGTTCATGAAAATATTTGAATTCATTATAGTCATGAAAGATTTGGACAAAAATGCAAATTCCATGCTATTTGAGAATCACAATCATTTATGTCCGGGAAATTCGAAGCTATGGCTTAATTTCCGACTATTATGGCTAAAGAGGAAGATATTCGCTTCATTTAACGTATCTTTATAACTGTTTATTGACAACTGTTTAAACAAGATATCTGGACGAACAAGAGGTCTTCTTGGCAAATGTTTAAACATGTATCTACTTCCTTCACACTGAGTGTTGACACAAATGACCATCGAATCCATGAACTATTTCCAGTTTGTTTGCCATTGGATATCCATTTCACTTCCTCGATTTTCAAATGATTCCTCTGAATGCATGCTCAATATTATCGACATTGTTGTCCACAGCCGATTGTTCATTTGTATCCGCGGCCCATTAACCCTCCTGAGCCCATTTTTGACTTGCACACTTTATTGTCCAGTGTTAAGTCAAAATTCACCTGGTCTTCGGTCTCTCCAATACTTTTTCAATAGGCATATCATAAGTAAAGCAGCATATACACGAGACGCTCTTCCCAATTCCTTATGCCCATTACAGTTGAAAGTACAGGTTGCGGGTGAAGCAACTACATACTTTTTATGCAGATGCATGCAGTTTATTGAGGCTCGTAACTATTAAAATTTAAGTGTGGATAAAGAATGTTATCCAGGCCTTTTATCAAAACTATTTATTATGATTTTTCGCACTTTTTAAACTTAAGTGATATTCAGAATTGCAGCCTAGTATAATCTAATTGTTTGAATCTTTCTTCTGAACACTGGGGGACTCCGGACCTTGTTCAAGGATATATTTATTCTAAAAGTCACGGAATGCGCAGGCCCGACAAAAATTAAGGCATTTTTATGAAAAATTAATGTTTAAACATGGTACCCATACGCAAATGTGCAAAAGTCGCCAGCAAAGATGTAAGGTGGCTCAATTTAAATTGGATTAGTTGCAAAAAAATCTCTAGGGGTTTAATCTCTACTGCGGTTAGACAAGAAGCTTGAAGGAGGGATGCTTATTAAATAGAACTTTTTGATATTTTTTGAGAATAACACAATAATATTCTTTTGTTTATCACCTTTGTATGTGAGAAAATTGAATGCTTTCAAGTCAAACAGAACATGATACCCAAGATCAATTCTTTCCGGACTCCATAACTTATTGAACATTCCTTTGCTATGACCTAATTGTTATTAAGTAAGTCAACTTGACAATAAGCTCTCAAAAAAGGAAGAGAATTGTCTTTCTTTTTACTGTCTTTCTCCTTAATTCCGCGAAAGAACAAGGGGAACAAGGCACGTTTTATGTTCAATATTTTGTTTCTTTTGTTTTGTTGACCATTCTCTTTCATTGGTCGCTGACCATGTGGCTTACATGTTCTCAGCAAAATGGACAAAGGCATCACACCAAATATGGTTTGGCCCAAAACGTGGCTGGACACCAAGTATGGTATTTGGATCGTCTTTGGTACATTTACTGAAGTCTGGGGGTTGGCAATTAAGCAATAAGGGTGTATTTTGGAATGAAAATGCAGACTCAGAGTTCCCAATTATGTAATCGGTTTGTTTTTTCAAGGGGCTGTATACTCGGGAATATTTGTATTGGTATTTTTTTTATACTCAGATAATATATTACAATACAAACTACATTTGACTATACTTATGACTCTACGATACTACAGGTACGGTACCATAGGGAGCAAAGGACAGTGACAACCCCATGGCCATTACATGCAACTAGACAAATAAATACGAATACTGCACGTACACATAATGAATGTTAACATAAAAAGATAAGAATATATATATAGGAAATTACAAATAAGTGGGTGAGTCACAAGATTTAGAAATATTTAATGAAAATTACTGTATTATCATTCAAAGCGTTCTGTTCTTGAAATATACAAGATAGTAGATTCCGAAATGAATTTATTTACTTTAAATTGCAACTTTTTGTCTCCGTACAAAAGAATCTGTAAAAGGACAGGATTTAGAACGTTGACAAATTCAAATGAGTGCAGCACTGGAATGACACAGGCAAGGAGGTCCCGTCTTTGTTCTTCAAAAGACTGGCATTACAATATGAAGTGCTCCGTATTCTCGAGACCATCGTTGACCGGACACATCGGGTTTTGTAACTCTACTGGGTACTATCGTTGTTTTGTAAAGCTGCTAATAGAGTAGGCGTACAGAAGGTAGGGAAAGGCGCAGGTGACAGTGCTGCTTTTTACACTGAGTTTTCTTTCAGCGTAACAACCTCTACCCTGTAGCTGTAAATTTTGTTCACCTATTTTCATCGTTACTATTTTTGTTTTACCATTGCCATGTTACCTTCTTCAGATTTTGACCTTTTTCTTTGGTGATACGAAAAATTCTTCGAATCAGTTAAAAATGATTGTTGCCAGGCTTCCTATATAGTTCATGTACCTTTCCAAAACGACATCATACTATTTAAGGTAGCTGAGGTGATGCCAAAGTTCTACAATGCTCGATGTATTCAAGAGACTATGGGGTTTAACCTTTGAGGTCAAGCTTCTGTACGATATACGCTTAACTGTTTATAGAAAAACCATAATCCCGGACAAAATATTTGAGACTTTTTAAGGAAATGTGATATTTTCTCTTTGCGATAGCTTTCTTCCCTTCCTCGATTCGATGTCGAATGCATGTTTTCAAGCACCAAAGACAGAACTACTTATGCAACATTGGTTCGGGGGTAAAGGGGGTTTATTGGGGCAACGGAAAGAAGAAAATTACGTTTTCTTTCAACAATTTTGTCTGGGCTTTTAGTTTAAAGGCAATGGCTAAGTAGTTGAAGGGCAGTATGTCATGATATTAAACAAATAGAAATTATTTCTAGTTATATTCTTCGAACAACTTTATTCTTTACGCTAACCTGTACATTTTTTCTGAAAACATGCAGACTTACGTTAGACAACAGGAAAATGTACTGTTTGAGATGCTTTTGTGAATCAAAAACGCCCACGTGGTGATAGCAATGAACCCCGAAATGGCAGATATTTGACTGGAAGTCAAGGAAGAAGTTTGCCTTCAGTGACTCCTTCCTCTTTCCTCCATTCAGTTGAAACTTAATCCAGTTTAAATTCACCAAAGGCTAAATTTATCGCGGCAAAGGCTAGCGCCGCTATCGTTTTCACCGGCTGAATGCATTCGGCCTTAGCAAACAGTCTTTGTCATATGCCTACATAAATCGCGCGTTCACCGATTCTTCAACATTACCGTTTTCAACTGTAGGAAGAAAGGACCGAAGAATTTGATGTGACAAAAAAAGAGATAAAAACTGAAGATACAAAAGAGCAAAAAGATGAGGTCAAGTCAACCACAGTGAGTCACTTAATAATTCCCTCTTTCTTTATCACAAGCTCTTCACCCGCAAATTTCTCTAATCACAGTACGTCGTGATTTAATGTGACTTCCTCTTTGTTTATACTTGCCATTATTTTCATGTTTTTTAAACCATAACTACGATTTTGTATTTTCACCCCTTCGTTTTCGGTAGTCTAAAGTTTTACTACACGGAAGTGTTTCTTTGTGATGTTAAATGCTGAAGGCTCGCTCGGTTTTGAACAGGATTTGGTGTCTTTTATTTAATATCTAAGACAAAGTATTACTTTGGCGCTTAGATTAGTCATTTGCTTTGCAAGGGAAATCCGGCATTTTTCACTTGTTTTCTGCTTGCTTCTACAGCTAGTGCTTGGTTTACGCAAGTCACTTTTAACCGCATAGAGCCCTAAGGTTAAGTGATTTGTTTTCAAGGCATATTGGAATTTGTTCAAAACATAGTCTGTTATTTTGCCAGAGTAACTTCCGAACCGTTAGCAAGAAATTTGTTTTAAAACTGTTTATCTCATGAATTCTTTCACGCGAAACGCTTGTTGAGGCACCTTTTATAAATAGCCCCATCTAAGAATTTGAAAGAAGTAAGCTGATACTCAAGGATTTCCAGATCGCAAACATTATTCGATAAAATCAAATTTCATTTGGGAAATGTGATATGGGAAAGCGATAAAATTGTCGAGTATTAAGGAAAAACTTGTGATCTTAATGCCTATGGTTCTTTTCCTTGTCTTTCGACAAAAGCCTCGTTGTTTTTATAGCGACAATTTTGCGTTACAACAATATACTCCGATAAGGAAATAGATGGCGGTAGATGGATCCGCCGCTTTCTAGGAGGCAATCAGGAGGCTTATAGACAATGGGGGGAGACAGTTTCTTGATTATCAAAATACTCAAATGAATGAGTAATACTTTAGAAAAATTCCACGATAGCCTGCCTACGTAACGAAACAAACACCCATGGCCAGTAGCGTAAGCTCTGACGTCATATTGTTTTGATCTTCTTCCGTTCATTTACTTCCTTAAGTGGTCCTGTATTGAGGGTGTATTGGATCGAGCGCAGTAGCAAAAGGCTGCACTCATCAGACGCAGGGTAAATGACTCGAGGCAAAGGGTTGGTAAGTCTGTCAAGATTATGTAAGCGCTGATTACTGGCGAAGTTGGGGAATAAAGTCGTCTTTTTATGTTTCATTGTCTTTCACATCCCCGAGTGCAATCGTATCTCTTTTTAAATCTTCTTAAGTTAGTTTCATGATGTATAATTTGTTTTTTAATTATTTCAAGGGGAGACGCCTTTTCGGGTTTAACATTTTATCGGGTAGTGGTCAACATTTTCGATAAAGGCTGCACGACCTGAGAAACATAAAGAAGATGACGTACTGGATCAAAAGGCCTATGCAAGATAATAGTTCATCAACTTTTTAAAGTTGCACTGCTTTTAATGGTGACTTATTCACTGACAAAGTCTTAATAACGGCCATAGTCCCCCTTGAGTGGTTTTAGGGGGGGGGGTAGTTAGAGGTCAAAAAGACAGTTTAGGGGAGGCTATAAGGCACCAAAAAACTTCTAGTGTTTTTGATTCCGTTAAGATTGTTATGAATTATAAATTTCCTTATAAATATATTTGGTATTTGTTTTATTGATAGCCCAACCTATACCAAATAGTGCTGAGGTTTTATGGTGCATCGAACACGCTATTGCCAGTTCCTTCTTTGGATTGTTATGATAAAATTCTGTTTTAACTAATGTTGGAATGGTATTGTTGCAAGTTGACCTTGGACGATTGAATCAACTTCCTGCTTGATAGATCTGGTCAGAAATTAAATCGTGTTTAGGAACTCTCGATTTTCTTCGACTCTCCATTTTCGTAACAATTAAACATTCTTCTCAATCTTTTAGGAAATTAGCATCTCGTTAAGAAGGCTTCTATTCCATTCTACTATTTACTGGTTCCTTGTCTGAGGTCTCCTGCCAATTCGACGCTGCTTGGAAATAGTTCATTTAAAAAACCCTAAAAATCCATGCTAAATCGGGTGGACAAATAAGTGTATTTTTTTGCCAGATATTCAGTTTTAACCAATGATTAACACGATTGAATTTCAATTACAGGAAGTCGTAGATACGTCAGCGATGTTGGTAACTGGATACCTCCTTCCTCCAGAGAAACGCGCTTATTCTCTTGGCGGACCTTTACAACAAGGGCCTAAAAACATTGCAGAAACATACGTCACACGTTCGAGTTTGGACAGATACGGACCTATTGTTTCGCCAACTGTTTCGCCTACAAAAACGTACGAGGCCGTCAATTCGTCAACAAAGCGTCCTTCTATTTCGTCTTACAGTAAAGTAGAATGCAAAACCGAGCAAGACTACGAGGCTGCCACTTTGATATGTTCAATGAGAGACTCGATAACTCCACCCGACACAATGCGGATGTCCTGGATGTCAACCTTCTTGAAACCAGACCTTTCAATTTCAAAGGAGCATCAAAACTCTTTTGTGAAACGTGAGCCCTACAACCATGGGTCAAGAGTGGTCCAGCAGCAAGCCGCTGCACCTGACTCAGATAAACAAACAGGTCAGGACAGATGTTCCTTTATAAAACACGAGGAAAATGCTAAGGAATCTAGCAATAGTTCTACGCACCACTCAGATGATACAGATCACAGCGATGGTGAAAACGAGGATTATTCGATGATTGTGAGGCCAAGAGAGCCAGGACATGATGCTGGGGAAGCCTCGGTCTATGGATGCAGGCTGCCATGTTGTTCTCGCCCAGGATACAGAACACATTCGCCCGAAAATGCGACCTACTCGCCTATTAGAGTCCCCGCCAGGCGCCCAGGGCAATACCCATCGCCCCCACATGTGGAACACGGGAGTACATTTGGTCGCCATCGTGATATCGGAAAGAGTGCGTTTACGGCTGTCAGTCCAGGGCAGAAGCGACACGAGACAGAATATGCGCCAGCAAGTATGCCATCTGTGAAAGTGCGAGTAATCCAAGAGCGAAACTCTGATTCAGATAATATTGTGAACGGGTTCAGAGACAGCTCTCCTGTTAGCAAAGTGTTCTCAGAAAAAGTGATGTTTCCAGAGGCTGTTCAAAAGATTTCTGGGAAAAAAGAAGCATTATCAAACGGGAAGTTGCCCAATGGCGGCAATTTTCATGACAAGACGGCTTCGCCGAAAAGCGATGATTTTGCCTATATTCGATCAGCGCTGATAAACAATGTGATTGGAACGAAGTCAACTGATGAAAATCATGCCCCGGAGAACAAATATTCAAGTGACGATTTTATCATACCGAGACCTGCAGCCTCGTTCATAAATGGTGTAGGTTCTAGCTATTCAAGTACCTTTACCCCTCCGAACAGCAATGGATATGTTTCAGTGAAACGAGAGAATGCAACCAATGGATACACGACCTCTGCCGTACAATGCTCTAAAGTTGACAGCACAGGTACAGAGGCTGATGGTGAAAGCCGACTGCTAGATCTAGCTCGAGTGGCAAACGAGCATCTGGGTATGTATTAACTCTTAAGCAATTGAAGTTGAACTCGTTTGTTGAAATCTCTATTTTCTGTTAAGTTGATATTGACATTATACGAGAACTGCCAATGTTGTTTGGAATTTGGTCTCCCCTGCGGTAGGGATTTGGTAAACCTGGAGGAGAGGGTTATCAACACTCAAAATTCTGAATACTTCCTAAATCGTATTATCGAACATGATCTGAAGGGTATTTGAATTTTGAAATTAGAGAATGTCTTAACGACAGTTTTTTCCCACACTTACGTTGTAATGTCAACAGACTTTCTAATGACCCTTTCGTTTTGTACCACATAGGCGAAGAATTGGCCAAGCAACAGCCTGTCTTCAAACGAGTGAAACAGAAATGTGAGTACTTTTAAGATAATTTAGTACGGTAGAAAGGGTATGATTATTAAAGGGTGATTATTGTTCGAGAACAAAAGAAACAGAAGGGATTGTTCATTGACAACAATAGATTTTATAATGTATGGAGGGGCATCCTTCCAAGAACAATAGAAGTTACAGTGCTGGTAATTTAAGTAGTTTATTAGCCTCTATCAAATTTTGAGAGCGAAAACCACTGTGGTTGCATAGTGTTATGTGTGACTTCTAATCAAGTCTGACCCACAGATATTCTAAAGCAAGTTTGAGGTTTGCCTTCCCTTCAGCTCCTGCTATGAAGCGAAAACAAGCAAAAGAACAGCTTGCAAGGGATCTGGTTTCTATATTTGGTTTCGTTTTGCGTGACAGTTTTCTATTGTAGGGTTTTCAAATAAATTGGAATTCTCTATGCTGGTAATGATTCATAAAACTTATAACAAGATGTATCCCCGATTATGTATTACCAAATAATTATCCCCGATTATGTATTACCAATTAACATTACTTTTTTTCTTTTAGCGAATGATTGTCTCCATTTGTGGGAATTTCTAAGGGACATCTTGAACAACGATTCTATGTCACCTAAAGCTATTGAATGGACAGTGAGAGAGAGAGGAGAGTTTCGTCTTATCAAGACTGGCGTCGTTGCACAACTGTGGGGTCTTTCAAAGAACAGAACGTCAATGACTTATGAGAAAATGGCTCGAGCCATGAGATACTACTACAAAATGAAGATCCTAGAAAAAGTACCACACAAGAGACTTCATTTTAGATTTGGCAAGCATATGCTGCCAAAAGTACTATAATGAAAGGCACTAGGGACAGAATGAAGTTGTTTGTTGGTATGTATTTACTGTTATGCGTTTGCAGATGTTGAACTTCCCTGTAATATGTTCTGCAGTTTCTGGCCTTGCTACATGGACATTAAACGTCTTTATCCAATCTGCCACCAATTTGAAGTGTTTTCCTGGTGATGGTGTTCCTCTTCAAGATAGAAAGATGCTATCTGCCCAGTATCGATTATCATTGTAAAGTGTGGCTTTGCCCTGCGTGCTCTACATAAGACAGGGATGTTCAAACAATTGTTTAATAGAAGTGTATAACAAATTCTATTACTGGTTTATTTATGACCACTTATTTAAATATTGGGTGAAGTTTATGATTGTATTGTATTACTTAAAGAAATATTAGTTGCCTAAAACAGAAACTTTATTAACGTTTGTGATACTGAAAAAGTGTTGCTTGAGGTAGCTATAGTGTGGCCTCCGATAAAATTCTAAAAGTGTATATGATAAATGTGCATATAGTTAGACTCACAGAAGATTATATTTAAAATGTTAAAAAAGAACCTATATTGTAGACAAAGCTAAAGTTTAAACAGTGCTCCCGTTTGGGTCATTTCTTAGTTTGACAGTCACTGCTGCAGTTTGACAGATTTTGTTTGTCTTTTGACGTATTGCAAATTGTAACTTCTAAAGGCAGATGAAGTCTTGCCTGATTCAAGTTAGATTTGCAAAATTATTTTCTGTTTCCATATGAAGATTGATAGATTTCGTCCCTCAAACCAGCGAAATGTTTTTGTCTTTAATTTTTAACTGGTTTGAGGTATCCGCAGAAACAGAATTTTCAATGAAACATCCCGTCAATAATTTTAAGAATTCATGCTCTGTTTATCTTGTTTTGTTTGTATAACAGTGGCAACTTTTGATAGTTTTGTATTTTTAATTCTTTCCCATTGGTTTCTAATTTTGTACCACACCAGGACTCTTTGTTGCCTGATGGTGCTCCTTATTCTGGTTGGCCTTTATATGGGTAGGTCAAGTTGGCATTGTAACGTCCCGACAACCATTGCCCCAACTTCGAAAACTGCACTCATTCGACATATTGTTACAGTAGTTCCCAGACTCCTCCCCCTTCCAATAGTTTAATGAACAAGAGTCTTCTGAATCCAAATGTCACCTTGTTTTAATCAAGCCTGATTACTACTGAATTTGTTTCCCATTATTTTCACTAATTCGTTATTGCCTTGCCTGACTATGAAGACTTGTATGCGAAGTTTATGCTAAAATATATCAGTGGTTTTGGTTTAAATAAGGTTGAACTTATTGACATTTAGTTGCATCTATTCCAAATATCTGTTATAATTCTCAACAAATCTAAAAGTTCTCTATACGAAACTATTTTAGGCTGGATACATTGCCTGAGTCCTTTCCCTAGACAATCTGTATTGGCCTCGTAAAGGTTTATCTCTGTCTTTTCCCATCGCTCGGTTTAGGCCCTCTTGTGCCATTTTTGCGTATATCGTTTGTGTCGTGTTCATTTCAAAATGGCGTTGATGTTTGCATGTGTTTGATGTGTGAGACTGTTGTTCGCCTTTACGTAGAATGTTATTTCTATCGTTCCTTATTATGTCGATGTATTTTATAAACATGTGAATATTTAGACATATTATGAGAAACAGTTTGAATTTCTGTTTTTCTTTAGTTTTACTATCCTCTATTATTCTACAGTTTGGAAATCTCAAGAAATACTTTACCAACGCGCTTTGTAAAATGTCTACAAAGTAGATAAGCGAATTTTTCACCATATGAAGTAAATGCTGCCCTGATAATTGGAATGTTTCCTATTTCAATAAAAAAATATCTTTATAAATATCGTTATTAGGTCATTTTTAGCAGCGAACAGGCTGGCACACAGTGAATACTTGATTGAAATGGAAGGGCAATTTGGAGATCAATTTATGTATTTAATTGATAGCTTTTCTCTATTTCGATAATTAGAATTGAAATAATAATGAAATGAGATGAAATTGTAATGGCGTAACCAGACAGGGTGCTTGGGTGCGTATGCATCCCCAGATACCTTTTTCATAGAATTATTTGGCGAAAAAGGTCCCATTGTAGCCATCTCCCCTGTTTTTTCCCGTTAAGTCAATGACCACGGTTGAATATTGTTAAGCTCGTGGAAGTTTAGATATTTATACTTTATACTACAGTTTCCTGATGGTCCTGTTCTGTACACAAGCGTGTGCAACTCGGCATCGAGCGCTTTATAACAGACCGGTAAACTACAATCTTTATTATAGTTCATATGCATGTAAACTCAAAGCTTTTCGATAGCGCAAGTATGCAAGTGATAGGAATGGCGATACAAGGTTTTCATGGAGAGAATGCAGTCACTAAAATCAATGCGTATCGTAGCAATGGTTCTAAATGACATTGCTGGGGCACGAGGGTGGGATGGAACAGAACATTTTTGTTACAGAGATAGCTATATGGATGAACACTGCCGGAATTATCACCAAATTTTGAAACATCCCGAAAAAAGTTCAACTGTATGCCAAAATGGCACGACAATAAGAAAACGAAAAACAATTTCTACTTGGTCACTTTTTTCATATCTCAATATTGATAATTTCTAGGATATTGTCTGAAACTGAAATTTTTATGTTCTAAGATTTTGCCAATCAAATCCTTTATCAATGACATTTGTAAGAGGGGGTGCTTTGGGTGTTAGAACCGGCAAACCTGTAAAACTTTTAAATAAAACCAGGAAACCGGGCTAAAATTAGGAAAACCGAATATCCGATTCCGAAATCCTGCAGGCTTTCGAGAAAAAACCCGAAACCTGGTGATTAATATCGTTAAAACCCCCCAAGACGTGAGATACCAAAGCGGACATATTACCCTTTGTTATCTATCAGTGGACACATTGCTTTATCGCTGCCCAGCTATAGAGATTGCTTAGACCATTTTTGTGTTTTTAATCGTATTTATGTATTTTTCAATAGTTCAACAAGTTGCGATAAATTATTCACGTTGCTGGTTAAAGAGATCGGGTGTTAGCAACGAGTTGGTAGCAACCAATGTCATTGAAGATGTAAACACCCGCGCTCAAAGCCTTTCAGGGTTTGTGACTCAACAACAACAGTTAAAGATGGCTGACTTGAAAGGGCAGTGAGTAGGGTTACTATACAGACCAAGATGTCGGCCAGAAGCCGCACAACAAACATGGGAGCACCAGGAACAAAATCTAAAAAGAAAGAAGTTCCTTGGGAGAAGCTCATGAAAGAACAAACTGATTTTGACAACGGGCAAGCAAACTTGAGAACAGCAAAGAGCGACGGCCTAGCTTTTGACCAGACGATGGACGATCTGGGATACTCCCCAAAATCATCGGTAACATACAGTGGAGTTAATGATACAAAATCTCTTTTTGATAATAGCCTTCAGCGAGGACATACAAAGCCAAACTTTAACTTGAATGAATCGATGAACTCTCTTACTTTAAGACAAAATAGACCACCAAGAAGTTCCCCAACGGCAGCCGCTCCTTTTGATGCAACTGTACGTCATAGTAGTCCAGGAAGAACAAGTAACGGCTTCCACCGAACATCGCCAACATTAATAAGGAAAAACATGAATTCTTTTGGACCACCAGATCCTCAAATAAACCCAGAGATTGAAAATGCTGTTATCTCTTTTTGCTTCATTGACCTTGTTGACATTTTGAGATACTCAAACAATATGGTCAACACTGAAATTCTAAGGGAAATGTTACGAAAAGACATTTTGGTCTGGTTAGATGCCTTCTCGATGTATATGACAGTTATATGCAGTGCACATCCAATTAGGTTGCATGATCTTTTGAAATATCAAAGAAACATTATATGGATATATAGAGAAACTGAGGACACATCTGCTTGGTGGAGATATGACATAGCATTTAGACGCAAAGCTGAACTACGTCAGATCCAAGATTGGAGTATTATTGATAGAGATTTGTATGGTGCTGCCTCTTCTGAAAGAGTTAGGGAAGGATTCTCATGTGTACCATGTCTGTCAAATGAGCATGTTTTAAGAAAATGTCCATTTGGAGAAGGAGCCAAGAAGGGTTACCCAGTGATTGATCTAAATGGCACAATTGCTTCAAACAATGAAGCTATGGAAAGGGCCCTGGCCAACCCAGAGAAGCTTCTTAAAAAGCCAAATGATGGTCTAAAGCTGAAGTTTGCATTTGGGTTCGTACATATTGCTGCTTTATGGAGTTACTCTCAATACCATACATGCCTAATGGGTCTATAGAGATTTTGAATTAGGATTAAAAGCATTAGATATGCCTTTTTAACTATTCATAAAGTCAATAATCATTGATCAATTATTTTTCAATTAATCACATAAGCCATTTTGTCCTAATTATTTCATGGCAGGATATTTTGAAAATATATGTAAATTGCTATTAATAAGAATTTAAACTATACATGAAACAAACAATTAGTTTTAACTGCAGTCATACTTGTGAAAAAAGGTTTAAAAAGAAAAGAATGATGAACAGAAACATCAAGTGATAACTCAAGTATTTTGACAATGTTTGATAGAAGAAAAAATTGTGCAGACTTCTGCATCTGATTATAATGAAAGCTCTCTAATCAACAACATGATTTTTGCAGGTACCATGGCTACAATGCTTGTAACAATATATTTTACACACAAAGCAATGAAATAGTCTTCCACACAGCTGCTCTTGGCATTGTGTATAGCCCTAAAACTCATGAGCAAAGGTTCTACAGTGGCCATGATGATGATGTTCTATGTCTGACTATTCATGATGACCAAGACTTTGTTGCAACTGGTCAGGTAACCTACCTTTTGTAATTCTAATAACACAAAATTCTGTTTCATTTGTAGATATTTTTAGAATTTTATCTATTAGGGATTTTAATTTATCCAAAAGAAAATTGTTTACTCAATATATGTAAGCAATATAATTGAATACCTAACAGGTAACTATGTTTCTGCAATATTAAAGCAATTAATGATTTGTCATACTAAATCTTCATTTTTCCATTAATAAGCAGGCTCTTTTTTAACAATTTCATGTTCCAAAACTTTGCCTAAGTTATATTTTTAATATTTTATGTTTATCATTTTGCTTAGATTGGTAAAAATCCCTCAACACATGTATGGGATGCCAGAAGTATGAAGACGGTTGCCATTCTCAAAGGTTTCCATAGAAGAGGAATCATCTGTGTTGACTTCTCTGGTGAGTTTTTTCTATTTATGAAAGACTGCCTGGAATTAAGACTTGTTGTCTCTTTACCAATTAGGGCATTAACTGATTGGGATTTTACAAATATTCAGTACCTTAGATTTAGAAGGATTCATCGCTGGTCCTTGTCTTAACACATCAAGATCCTTGATTATCTCCAAGTGCCTCTTTTATCATACCTCTTCAGCAGTCCTTTAGAACTTCATTTGTTTGCAGCATTGCTTGCTACCATGCAAAAAGTGAAACAGAACACACTAACTAGCCTGTTGGTTACTTGATAGAGAGTGCGATTGTTTGAGTATTAAAGGATCCACCTTTCAAGTAGATTTCTCTTTGCTTTTTGTTTTTTGACTCATCTGAGAATCCAGTAATTATGTAGTGGTTGCTCTAATTCATAACTAAATTTTTACAATGCTCTGCAATGCTGTATCTAAACTGTTGTTAAAATGATCTGTTTTGTTTTACAGGTGATGGAAACATGCTGGCAGATGTAGGAATGGATGATGACCATTGCATATGTGTTTGGGACTGGAGAAAACAGGAAAAAATTGCATCTACAAGGTAGTATTTGGATCTGAATTCCCCTTGTACCCCTGATTTGATTTTTTTGTGATCATGAAAATACAGGTGTCAGTTTTTAACACTTAAGGTTTGGATCAGTCCTTTTAGCACATCTCGCCTGATATCTTATTAAGACAGTTTTGTTGTTTATATTTCATTCAAACACCATCTTAGTTAGTTAATCAAGATTCCTATGCTGTTTTTATCCAGGCTTCTGTTGCTAAATTTGAAAGTCTTATTGTGTGTAATCATTTTAATCTGTTTTGAAATTTGGTTTCTTTGTTTAAAGGGGTCACAAAGATGTCATTTACAACTTGGAATGGAACCCATATGAAGTCAACCTATTTGTTAGTGTTGGTGTTAAGCATATCAAGTTCTGGGCAGTTGATGGTTAGCCTAAATATATACTTGACAAAATCTTCATTGCAATTGATTTCATACCTAGACTGGTTCATTTTGCCACCAAAATGCTATGATTGGGAATTTTCTTGTCGAAGTTTGCTGCCTTTGTTTAATGGTTTTTCAATTTTTTGCTATTGGATTATGACATTATGAGATTCTGTCGTGAAAGAAAAAGGAAGGGTGTCATGTTTTCAAGAAATAGACTTCGCCAGTAACAATAGATTTAAATAGTAAAATTGACTGTTTTTGATGGTGACTTTGTATTTTAAGAGCTCTCTGGTTGGTAATCAGCTTTCTTCATATTGCATTGTAAAGCATCCAATAATGTTACTGCAATGCGCTTTTATTACTAGAATATAATTGGAGTTGATTTCAAATTTTCTAGGCAAAAAGATCGTGAAAAGAACTGCTACATTTGGAAAGGCAGGAGAATTGGGCGACATGCTTTGTGTGTGCCACAGTCCTTATGAGCATTTGTGCTATACTGGTAGTTCAACTGGCGAAATATATGTTTGGCAAGGGTCAACATTTAGGAAAAGGATGCCAGCACATAAAGGTCCTGTCTACGCAATGTTTGCACTGTTGCAGTCGGATGATAAGGTGAACCACTGGTTTAATTTCATTGGTTTATCGATTTCAAAATGTTTCCGTTTCTATTGCAAGTTTTTCCAGGAATCTCTCAACAAATGATGGTTACATAGCAACTGTAAACGCCGCAAGAAACTTTTCCGATTATCAACCAATTGTCCTTCGGTGTATCCTGTACTTCATGGTGTTAGTGACAGGAGTGATACTTATTTGGATTTGACGCTCTTAGGCCCCAGAAATATGAGAACTGTTTCAGTTGAAAGTTGATTTCACATTAGAATCAGTTTGCAATCTTCGACAATAACGTTTCAGTGGTGCACCATTTTATCTGAAAGGTCCTGAAAACAAAGCCGATGTTCCCAAGTAGTTTTTCGAAGCCAAAGTTACTTGAATGTCGAAGATTTTTAAAAGTATCTGCGAAATTCTTTTATTTTTAACATCTTTGAGTCTTTAGAAAAAGGAGCTAAATATCTAATCCTTCTTGTTCAAATCCCTGTATCCAAAGATACTCGTTTCGCAAAGTTATCTTAAGTCCTCAAACTTTAACTCTCTGTTCGGCATCATATTCTGATTTGATTTCATTTCATTTCAAAGGGATTTGTCAGTGGAGGAAAAGACGGCGTTGTTGTTCTTTGGGATGAAATGTTCAGCCAGCCATTACGTGCGTTTCAAATTGAGACCTCCAAATTTCCACCTGGTACGATACTCCTTCATGAAAAGCCACCAATCCGATCTTTGCATACTGACGAGGGAAGAATCGTCGTTGGGACTGGGCATGATGACGTCATTCAAATTTTTGCTGATGGGTCAATGGAAATGATTCTTCAGGTATTGAACTATCTCTGATTAGCTGCTTTTAACCACACTAAATCCATCAAAAAAATGTATTTTTATTACTACGATATGTAACAGATCTGTCCACAGTATAAGTGCAAGTATATTCTGCGCACTAAGATCATTCCTTGCTACAATTTGCAGAAATTGAAATAGTGTTGATTTCTTCCGTGATTTTTCCTTGTTTAACTTTTCAAGTTCCGAATGTGACAAACGGCAAATGTTGGTATTTTTTCTTAGCATTTTTGAAACTTATTTTTTTCACCGACAGCTCCGCATTCTATTATTCTTTTTAGATTGTTGCCAAGATAAGTTTTTGAAATTAGCATTTTGTTTGAATGTGTTTATTAGCATTCAGGTTTGTTTAAACCTTAATGACAGTAATGAATTAACCTGCGAATCGCTTAAATTCGGTTTTTCTATTTTCCTTCCTGTGACTTGTACAAAGACAGCCTTCAATTTTTATTCTTACAAGCCACTCTGTGTTTTAGGGCCACGGAGAAGGTGAGTTATGGGGCCTAGCCGTTCATCCCCGTGAACCAGAGTGCGCCACAGTCAGTGATGATAAAACTCTCAGGATATGGAGTTTAAGCGAGTGCCAAATGAAAAGGGTTGCCGTGCTTCGAAAAGGAGGCCGCTGCCTCGATTACCATCCTACTGGAGATACTATAGCTGTTGGTTTAAATGACGGTAAGTTATGTCGACGCTCTTGACACGAGACAAAAGTATGTAGTCTATGGAATAATGTGTTACGTATTTTATTCTACGCTGTGACTTGAGGATATTTGCATTGCAACCAGTAGACTTGCCTGAAACTTTGCTCAGAAATTCGTTTTTTCTCAGAGTGAGACTTTTTGATGAGGCAACGCTAAATGTCTTCACGGAAGTTTTTGGTCTGTAACGCAGGCTACGTGTATGTATGTTTAAGTCGTCTGTCAGTTATTATGATTGGTCAAAGGAAAATTGCCACTCATCAAACAACCAATCAGGCGCCGCTTTGTAATCTTAGCCAATCAAATATAAGCCTCTACCTCTAATAGACTATCATTATTCTGGCCATCAGAAATCCTTTTAGAATCCTTTTATAGGACTATTTTTTATTGAAATTTACTTTTTGAATCTTGTCATGTGTTGGATCACTCCAATCAAGGCACTGATTGATTTTGTTCGTTTTAGGGAGTTTCATGATTGTGGATGCAAGATCTTTGCAAACATTAATACATTTGAAAGACAGGAAAGAAGAGCTCTCCGATATCAAATTCTCCCCAGGTATGATATCTCATCTAAAGATGATAAGTTTTGTGTGCGCAAGTGAACGGCTCTTAGTTGCTTGCATAGATTAAAAGAGCGTTAATGAGCATACCATTTCATTTTGTGAAGTATTTAGAAAGCCAACAAATTGCTATTCCAGTTAGTTACTAATTTGTTTAGTGATCGGTATAATTTAAAAAATGTTTCATTTTGTTGCATAATTTTTTTCTTGTCTTTGGATTGCATTTGACATTTTTACAATTTGTTTTTTTCCTTTTTCTGGCAGTTTTATATGCATACATATTGGACTGTTTGAAATTAAAACTGACATCATTTGATCATTTGTCTAAGTGGTATAAAACTGTGTGTTGTTATATGAGCCATATTTCTAATGATCATTTGGTATGTATGGAGTATAATCAAGCCTTTTTGGTTTTTAGATGGCAAATTTGTGGCAGCTGCGTCTCACGACAATATGCTTGATATTTACAGTGTTAAGCGAGGCAAAAAGTGTGCAACGTGTACTGGAAATTCCAGTTATCTTACACATTTTGATTGGGATAAACGAGGTAAGACACTTTAGAAGCGAGGTTGTTAGATCGAAGTTAGCCGAGCCTTTGTTGAATGGTTAGCAAAGATGCTGCTAAACCGATTTTGAATCTATTGCACTTTTTCTGTACAGCATGTTTTCCAACAAGTCACGTGATTTGCACCTTCAAAGTTTAAGACCATCACAAAAAACAATCTTTTGAACATCCTTTCTCTTTCTTCGGTATCTTCTTCGATTTCACATATCAAGCAAAATGCTAAGCATATACTTGTGGTGATTGGAGTTGCCAGCTCTAAATGATTCCAAGAGAAGGCATCACTATGTTTTGCTATACAAAGACACCTTGACCAATTCTTCCAAAGAGTAGCAAACTGATGACGTCACAAAAATTTTATTTTATAATTTTTGGATTTGAACATCTAACCTGAAAAAAACACTATTCTCTAAACAAGCTTCAAATCTTTCCTTGGTCACATTTAGGAAATATGTAACAGATGTAACTGCCTTTGCACATTTGGAGATATCTCACTATCAAATCGCAGTGTTCACAGTTTACATAAATACTTCTGCCCATGTTGTCAAGATTAAGTTATATTCATGACGTCATCATTTTGCCACTCTATCGGTATAGTTTTGCAATAGACCGTTTTATTTCGTAGGCCAGATGATACAAACAAACTCAGGTGCTAGAGAACATCTTTTATTCGAAGCCCCATCCGGCAAAAGGAAAACAATGAGCATTGATGCAGTAGCTAGGGTAGACTGGGCCACCTTCACTTGTGTCATAGGACCAACGGTTAGAGGTATATTCCCTCCAATGACTGACGTCACAGATGTCAATGCAACCAGTAGAAGCAAGGACTATAAGCTAATTGCCAGCGGAGATGACTTTGGTCAAGTGAAACTCTTTCAATATCCTGTTCTGGTAAGATAAATTACAATTAATGTTTTCTACGATGCTACCTGATTTTCATGGGAAAGTACATCAGTTGAATGATTCGTCTGTGAACTTTTGTTGTCTGTAACTTATACCATTTGACCCAAAATATTCTTAAAAGCAATCTAGGCCCAATTTTCATTATGTCAGTTAAATTCCTTGAGAGCTTTTTATCCAAAAGAGTTTATGCAATGCAAAAAATGTAACTGCGATGCCTAAGCTAGAATTTGAAGAAATTTTGAAAGCTGTTATTTCAAAAGAAGGCAGCCATGCTGAAATTTGTTGGAAATACTGCGTACTTAGAGAACAGCATTTCTCTCTGTTCTCGTAACCAAGCTTTCTTGATAACAGAATGTTATAAGCTATACTGAAGCTTTGTTCAATTCGTATTTCTTGTTTCCCATTCACAGCAACGTGGTGCTCGTCCGCGCGTCTACAAAGGACATTGTAGTCACGTGACAAACGTTCGGTGGACGAATGACGATAAATTTCTACTCAGTACGGGTGGAATGGATGCCAGTTTGCTTGTATGGGAAAGAATCGAAATCGGACCCGAGGGTATGTCTTTATTGATACATTCTCTACCTAACTTTATGATTATTCATATATAAGCCTTTTTTGTAAAAGCAAAAAAAATAACACAGAAGTGAATAATCATTTCCCTTAGCCACGTTAAATATTTTTTAGATTCGTCTGATAAGCTGCCTTGGAGACTTCTTGCTTATCAATCCGCATTGATTTGAATAATCTTACGTTAAAAAAGCCGCCCTTTTCATTGAACCTATCCGCCTTTGCCTTCATGTTACCAGGAATTTCAAAGTTGAATCAGGGCCACCGTGAGAGGGGCAAGGGGGCAAATTGCCCCAGAGGCTTGAGGTCTAGGGGGCGGCCTCATAAATGATGAATTCCATTTTAAGAATGGAATTAATCAGATGTAGCAAATAAATGTCTAAAGACAACAAGAAGCTTTAAACGATTGCGATAAAATGACTGTAAGAAAGGTTCTAAAATGCATTTTAAGCTAATCTGAAGGGCGTTGTCGCAAAGACTTTCTGCTCGTTCTGCTTGCAGCGGACCTCGTCTCTTGGTTTTGCCCTAGGCCATCCGAAATCTCTCGGTTGCCCTGAGCGGGGTTAGGACATACCTGGCTTAATTGCAATGGGGTTTTACTTTGGCTTTTCTTTTAGCAAATAAACTCTCGGGAGGGTTTGGATAAATCCTTATACTGTTCCATTATACTGTTTAAACCATAATGGTGATGCAAGCTGAAACTGTAAATGTGCTGTTTTAGGGCAGTAGCCCGTGGTAGTTCTGGCTTTTGGAATGTCAAGGCGGTTTTGGGTACAAAATAGTCTTCCATGAAAACAGGATTAAGGTTGTTAAGTGAATCATGCTTTTGTGTTTTGATTGAACCTATCCGCCTTTGCCTTAAACTAATAAAATAGACAACGTACTGTGATTTCAAAAGTTTCTCAGAAAAATTTTTGATAGCAAAAATGTTGATAGTATTATATGATAAATATGACATGAAAAGAGTATAACATATGTAATTGTATTTTCGGACCGTCAAATTTTTTGTATCTCATTTCTCACAAGTCTCTTGTATCATTCCTAGCGAATTATACGAAGACAGAACGAACTTAAAAGCCATTTTGAAACCACTGTCTATTTGTAACACACATGTGGCTTTTCTTAGGATATATGTTCCTTTGTGCCCTTTGTGTGCCCAAGTTGGTTTAGAAGAGATTCGAACATATCCAGAAACCAAGATTGATTGTCATAAGATTGGATATGATTTGTGATAACGTATAAGCAAGTCTTCCTGGTTTTCAAAACCTTTAGCTATTTTGTGACGTAAATGCAATGGAAAAGACTTTTCTGATAACTATCACAGGTTTTGAGCTAATTGCTCGTGTTATCTTTCTTAATCTTTAAAGTATCAATTCCTTTTGTCAGATGACGATAAACCCTCAGAGAGAATCCAACCAAAGTTTTTACCAAGTGGAACAATTAAGAATCCTGTTTCAAAAGGTAAACCTGTTTGGGATGACTGACGAAAATACAAAAACCTGTTATAGCAACGTTGGCAACATGGTGAGTTCCTCTGGGATGGTCGTGAACATTTGCAGGAATCTCGAGGGCACTTGGCAACCGTGCAAGTCATCATGGGAAAGTTGGCACACGTTGCTGAGTGCCCCCCAGGAAACGGTGCCCCAAAGGCATTTTGGGGTAGATTGCCTTCCAGCATCTTGACCCTGTTTCCAGTTAAAAAGGTATGAAGAAGGAGCAACTTCGCAGTTGAAGCAAACACTGGCTTACCCAGTGACATTTTGCAACTTCTAGAAAGGAAATCAATTTTTAGATATTTGTTATCGTCCTACGTGTAATGACTAAATGAAATGATCGTCGTTGAAGCTGTTGAAGAGATGTCGAGGGGTCATTCTTATCGTTATTTTGATTGTAAAATTTTTAAATGTCTATTGTTACTGTCATTTTGTAGTTAAGGATATTGTATTGAAATTAAAGCTAAAATCTTTGTTTCGTGATATTTTGTGGTATCAAGGTATTAATAAACAAGCACACTTTGAAATACCTCAATATTATTTAAAGGTATCAGCCAAGATGACGACTGTGTTTGACTTCCAACCCCCCATTGAATATCCTACTTGTAGATAACCCTAGTGAGCGATATTCTGCTCTTGGCATTGATACGTCATCAACGAAGAAGGCCTTCTTATTCGCAAACCATGCATCACGGTGATATGAACGAGAATCTGGAATGAAATATCTGCAACCCTGAAATTCGTTATAAAAAATGTTTATAACGTAAAGCAGTGTTGTTTAAAATGGCCAAACGAAAACGAAATGGTGATGTTTTTCGATTTTACGAAACAGGCATTCGCGTTTCCAAGTAAACTAAAACGTTTAATAATGTTCAGATTCACTGCTCGAATTGTACTTTTTATATCCTTTATCGATATATCAGTTAGATGGCCAGATTATTGGAGAAAAACAAATGATATCATCTAATGACAAGACTAATGCATTATGTCTAAAACTTCTTTACACAAACAACTCTTTAATTGTTAAGGTTTCCCCTATTTTTTTTAAGACCCTTTCCACCTCTGCTGTACTCGATGTCATACTTTCTTGGAACATACCCCAAGCCCCCCAACCCCCAACCCCCTCTGAGCGTATCTACATCGTAAATGCCTCCTACAATAGAGGTGACAAGAATAAAACTGTTTATTTTTCCTTTTTACTGATGAAAACTTTTTTACTTGATGAGGCGTTATATGCATGTATTTAATGGGAATTCAGGTATTTGTAAAACACTGTATTTCTTTCTACATTCGCAATATATATTGTAGCTGAAATATTATAAGGGTATTTTATATGCTTTAATTTTTGGGCTATTTAAATAAAGGATTTACTGTATTGAAATTATTAGCATTAAACAAACTATTATCTCGTAAATACTGCCTATTCTTTTGAACTCGCTTGTTTTTTTACTGCAAGAAGTAACTACCAGTCATTTCCAGCTACCACTAAGTTTGACAATCTTTATAATTATAAATATCACTATCAATCAGTATCATATCGTTGTCATCATCAAAATCACCAATCATAATCGCAAATCTTAATCGCAAATCAAAATCACCAAACAATCACCATCAACAATGGTATCACTATCAACCAGTATAACATCATAGTCATCATCAAAATCATCAATCACAATCGCATATCACAATCATGAGTCATAATCGCCAAACGTAATCACCATCATCGTAGGTATCACAATCAATCACCATCATCGTTGTCCTCATCAAATGCAACAATCATAATCGCAAATCATAATCGTTAATCATACTCCCTAAACATAATCACTGTAATAATTGGCATCACTATCAATCAGCATCATCCATCATTATCATCAATCGCCATTATCAATCTTTATCATCAACAATTATCGTAATCTTAATATCAATTATCTTTTCTGTGCTCTAGAATTTGTGATTCTGGAAATTTTTCCGGAACAAAAATCATGTAACTATTTAAGCTAACTTAAAATTAAGTGAACAATTTTTTTGCGGTACAGAATTTGAAAATGGCTTTGAAAAAAGCAAACATTTTACGATATACTAAAAGCTTTTTTCGTCTGACACTTCTCAGAGCAAAAACGTCAGAATAAGGTTCCGAAAGAACACGATGGAAAATATATACCCAGTTGTGGATCGAAATAGGCCAATCAGAAAAACGCAAGCACAAGACCGGTATAGTTGACCAATCAGTGCCGCGAGCCTAAAGAAAAATTACCAATGGAGTCCAAGAGAGAAAAAGAACTCCTTTTGTCTACACAATGGCGGCTTTTTCGTTTTTATGTAGATTGACTCCAAAACTGCTAGATGGAAGGACGACCGGGCTCTGCCAATTATCCGAAACATGTCGTCATTATAGAGTTTTGCTCAATCGGGGTTGTCTTAAAGATGTTGACCGATGGCAGAATCACTTGTTTTAACAGTGTTTCTAGACCTACAAGATCGAGGAGGCTGTTCTCTTTGAGGGGCAGTTTTGTTTCGTATGTTGGAAGGAACATGCTGTTTTATCCTATCCCCCAATCTTGTGCGTCCTACGTAGCCAGAATCACACTGGCACGTAAATTCATAAATGACGGAACTTTTTTGTTTGGTAGGAACGCAATCCTTTTGAATGGATGGAAGGGCTCTCCTAGTGCTGTAAACAATCCGAGGATTGACAGCAAAGAAACATTTGGTTATGGCTTGCCTAATCTGACTCTCGAATCGCAAAAAAGTGTTACCAATCCATGGTAGTTTCAAATAAACCGGGCACATTTGCGGCACTAGGAATCTAAGCCTTGATAATTTTTTAGAAATCTTAGCCTTGGTTATATCGAATACAATCTCCTTTTTGCCCTTATGATTCGGCGAATTGCAAATATTTCGTCCTTTACAATTAAGAACTGTAAAATAAAACGTCTCTAAACGATTTTTCTATAGATTTGGGCATTTGGGCCTCTGAACTTTAATGACAGTTGCACTTTTCAATATGCTAAGTTTATGCATGAGAAAGAACGAGCAACATACAACAAGCTGCAAGCAACATATTAGCCGCCCGTTAAGCAAGAATTAACTTCGAAATACAATTTGTTACGTTGGGAGGTGTCAAATTCTGGCATGTCATTCCTATACACACAGATATTCGCTCCAAGCGGTTTTGCATTAAAAAGGGCCAAAATTTTGGATGTTTGGAATAAAAAGCGGTATTTTTCGGTAATATCATTGCCCATTACCCTTGTTAAAACCAAGATCTAATTTCATATCATCCTGTACCTGTACTTTGATACTTTGCAGCTGGATTTAAAATAATTCCGAAACAGGCCGAAGCGATCTCTCATATTTCGTGCGTATTGCACGAAGTAGTTTAGGTGTCACTATTCGCCAAACATGGACGACGATGGCGGGAAACTTGATTTGGCCCAACTGCGAAATCTTGTTAGAACATATATTGACAATCATCTGTACCATACTGCATTGTTTTGGGCAGATAAAGCGTGCTCCTTGTCCAGCAACAGCCAGCAAGATATTATTTGGCTAGCACAGACTATGCTATTGACAGGACAGTACGAAAGAGCGGCAGAACTGTTGAAAAAGCACGGCCTAGTGAATTGTAGTCCAATCGCCAAATATATCGTAGCAAAATGCTATGCAGAGCGAAAAGAATGGGACAAAGTGCTGGATATACTTGAAAATGATCAAGTGGATGTTAGTTCTTGTGATGAGCAGGGAGATATTTCCAAGTTTGAAGGACCAATTTGTGGTCGGAAAATTGAAAGTGCCATCTGTTTGTTGAAGGGGATGGCGTACGAGGGGTCTGGAAACAGTATTATCATAAAGAGTTTTGCTGCAGATGCATTCAAGGAGGCGTTACGACTTGATGTTTATTGCTTTGAGGCGTTCGATTTCCTAACTGCACACAACATGATGACTGCACAAGAAGAACTGGACTTGATTGAGTCACTCCCATTTTCAACGCAGTGTTCAAAAGAAGAAGCCGACTTTGTTAGGTTTCTGTATGAAAGTAAAATCAAGCAATATTGTAAGCCAGTCGACCCGAAACTTCCAAATCACCTTGAGGCTCTGAACGAAAACCTTGATGTAGTTACCAGTCATGCTGTAAGGCATTTCAATAGCTGTGACTTCAAGATGTGTTACAAGCTTTCATCTGCAGTAATGACAAAGGACCAGTTTCATGAGAGCTGTTTGCCTGTGCACATATCATGTTTGGTAGAGTTAAAAAAGAAGAATGAACTCTACCACCTTGCCTCTCGATTGGTTAATAACTACCCTAAAAGAGCCATCTCATGGCATGCCGTAGGAGCATATTACCTTTTAACTGGAAGAAGTGAAGCTGCAAGGAGATATTTTGGGAAGGCAACTGGGATTGACCGAGTATATGCCCCTGCTTGGCTTGGATTTGCCCATAGTTATGCCAATGATGGTGAGCATGACCAAGCAATATCAGCTTACTTTACTGCTTCAGAATTAATGCCTGGCTCACATCTTCCTTATTTCTACTTAGGGCTTGAGTACATAACAACCAACAACATTAAACTTGCTAGACATTTCTTCAGGGAAGCATTGAAAATATCACCAGATGACCCATTTGTTAAACATGAACTTGGCTGCATTGATTACCAAAATGGTAACTACAAGTCTGCAAAGAAATACTTTGAGCATGCCTTGAAAAGGCTTGAAATAATTTATGGCAATGTCATACCAGAAGAATGGGAACCACTTTTTAGCAATTTAGGTCATGTATGTAGAAAGCTAGGTAATTATAAGATTTCATTACATTACCACAAGACAGCTTTAAACATTTGTCCTAACAATGCCTCAACATACTCAGCAATTGGATTGTCACATTGTTATCTTGGCAGCTATGTAAATGCGATATCTGCATTCCACAAGGCACTTAGCATTCACAGAGATGATACAATAAGCCAAGAACTTCTTGTTTATGCACTCAATAATGCAGCAGAATCTCAAGTCACAACCATAGACAGTTCGGATGATGAAGGTCTTGGAGAAGACACTGACAGGACTGCTGAGAAATCAACCATTGATATGGATGAATCTTCAATGATGGAGGAAGCTTGAAAACGGTACTTTATTTCAACAAGTTTTAGTGATATGAAATATGTATTTCCCTTGAAACTATCATGAGCTCTTCCAGATCTACAAATAGGATTGAAGTAGTTCAGCTAAAAGAATAGTTTTTTCTAGTGTAAAGCTAGTTTTTTCTTGCATGTATATGATAAGAAGCCAAAATAACCAATCATTATTTACATTGATGTTATGGTAGCTTTAAAATCACTTTTTAAACATAAATCTATGGGATTTTCTTGGATTTTACAATTTTGGTTTTTTTGGTATTTTTGAATTCTTGCTCTACCAATTAGTATCAAAATATAGAGACTCGTTTATCTTTCCATAGAAATTTTTCAGCACACATTCTAATGTGAACATTCTCGAGCAACAAAACACATAATAATTTTTCTGAAGGAACAAACTGCACTTCCTCTATCTATGCAATGTCTTAAAAGTAATTTTGTTGCAGACATTATGATTTTTCTAAAGTAAGTCAAACCCTGTATTTGTAATGAAATAAGCAACAAAGCTAAATGAATGAGAGATCATTGAAATCTCTAAAGATCTAATAATACAGTTCTTTCAATTAATCTGTTTGGTTTAGATAAATTGGGCTGTCAAGGTTTGATCCACAACACTCATAAAGAGAGATCGTTTTAAACATGCATAGCATTGCCCATTTCTTGGTCAATGGGGTAAGCTAGACCCCCATCTAGCCCCAATTTTGTCAGGATGGCTGATGTCAATAATTTTCTCAATTCAAAAAGGAAATGGCCAAACCATTAAAGGTTAGGGTTCAGAAAGTGAAGGCTTAGTACAATTCTAGCATAAAATAACAACTTGCCTATTATCATTTGGAAAACACTTGGGGTGTACAAGAAAAAAGGTTCTTTTGTAGCCATGCTCATAAAACTTCCTGAAAAAGTTATAAATCCCCTTTTTTGCTGAAAAAGTTATAAAATATAATTTAAACAACATTCTCGGTATCAGTGGGTATTGTAAAAGGAAATACCAAACAGAAATTTACACTGTCTATGCAGATCATATTACAGATTGAGGGGGCTAAAACGTTTTCGAAGGGCTAAACATGCTAAAAACTAAGAGCAAGGTTATTTTTGTATGGTTTTAAGTACATTTTGGAAATTACTGGGTGAGGGCTTAAGCCCCCATAGCCCCTTTCCCCGTTTCTGTGGTTCCTGTGTCTACGTACAAGGGAAGAAGAATACAAAAGTACTTTTAGTACCAACTTTCATGCTTGTATCTTAAAATGCACAGTTCAACTGCTAAGCGGCTGCACTAAAAAAGCATCAAGCAGAACGACCGTTTTTCGCGCCTTTTTTGTCCTGATCACGGGGGCATCGTCCTTCAGGGTATATCTTTATTACTGTTTACTCAAAGGCATTGGTTGTTAGCCTGGGGGAACTCATATGTTTCCGCAAACAGGGACATGCCGACCAACGGGGTATTGTTTTCAGACTTCAGACTCCGGGACAGGTTATCACTTTTTGACTCTGCATTCATGACAGGATTGTAATTTTCTTTTTGGCTTCGTGACAGGGTCATTATGCGTGAAACCATAGCAAAAATAAAATATTGAATTATGACATTTTAAGTTTTTGATAAATTAAACAGCGCAGAATGAACCACAATTGATTGCCGAAACTGTGAAACATTTTTTGAAACCATTTAGGACAATAATGTATGCTGGTTGATAGCCTGGAGAAACTCCGGGACAGAGTATCCGATTTTTCAATTTGAATCCAGAACAGGGCGCCTTTGCAAATTTGGGGGGGGGGCGTATCCCCGTATTTAATATACTGAAGTACCCCCCCCCCCCCGGATGCTGTTGGCAAATGCTACAACTACTTTTACTGCCTTTAAGAGCATTTTACCGTACAGTTTTCATAAGCAGTTTTTCACTATGGCTTAACCATGCTATCTTTCATAAGAATTTTGCAGCTCGGTAGTGGAATGTCGAAAAAATATTGATTTTTTAGAATTTTTGTGAAGTAGTGATAATTCCTAAGACTTTTTAAGTTGCAACAGTTAAAGCTTGTGAGTTATCTTTGAAAAATATCAGTTAATCACCAATGTTTTGCAGGGAAGCAACTCAAAAACGTCTTTTTTTCTCCCACCTCAATAATAGGGTTGAATTATTGTTCACGTTTAATTATTTTCAATTTTACTGATGTAAAAAAAAGTTACAACAGAACTTTCTAAAATATAGCCATTTAAAATCCATGCCTCAAACACGTTAACATAATAAAATGTTTTCAATAACTTTTCAAAATTTTGATGCTATAATGAATAATGTAATTTTTGTAAACAAGAATTTACAAAAAACTTACAATATTATTTTGCTATTATTAGCTATGATATTAGTATTTTTGAATATCGTACAAATATCTACATTGAGTTCAGGAGCTTCTGTCAAGACGATTCGTGCCAATTGTCGCCTCAGGTTCAGCTTCACTGTTTCAACCCTCTCTTGGGAAGAAATTTGCTGACAAATCTGAAGTTCTAGATCTCTTCTTCCGCTTTCCTAAAAACAAAAGAAGCAAGAGGAAGATGCTATGTCATTTTATGTCATTTACAGTCAATACTTACCTGTACTTTTTAAATAGTTACAGAAACAAAACCGAAAGACGAGGTCCCCGAGGAAATTTTCTTGCGACCACGCCCTTTAGATTTTCTTAAAATGCATTCCAGAGTATTTTTTGCAGTCATTCCTTGCTATTTTTAACTTTTAACTATTTTTGGGCATACCTACGTTTCATTGATCTCATTCTTAAAATGGAGTTCATTACTACTTGAGGCCCCCTCGACCTCAAGGCCCTGAGGCACTTTGCCCCCTTTCCCTGCTTACAGTGGCTTCCAATACCTCCAGGATCAACGTTCAGAGTTTTTAAATAAACTTTGACCCTTCCCTAAACCCCAAACTTTAGGCCCTGGATATTGGACATTAGATTCTAGACTCCAGCTGCCGAAAGGGAGTCATTTGAAGTTTTTGGGGGACATTTGCCCCTCCGTGACACCCATAGCGCTATCTTTTCCTATTTTGAATTGCTGAGGGCTTTTGGGCAATACTATCAAGTTCACATCCTCATCTTATCCTAGACAGGCTGTTGTAGCGTCCGTCAAGTGAGGCAGTAGCGAAACAGAGGCTCATGGAGTAAGTCTAATCTTATCCCAACTGTTCGCTAAAGCTATTGCCTTGGGAACTTTGAAAGCAAAACCCGACAAAATTCTACTTTTAGAAAATTTGCCGACAAGAACTTTCTAGGGGGGGGGTGCCGCACCCCCGCACCCCCCTGTTAGCGACGGCCCTGGTCGTTACGGCTGGTTTTGGCTTGTTATAGGTCGTTTTGGCTCGTTTTGAGTGATTCCATAGTTTAGTAAAACCGCATAGTAATGTAGTGTTTAGGATTAAAACATACTTCACAGTTCTCATGAGAACTCAGGAAAGACCTTCAGTCTCTCGGCGTCGTAAACTTCTTCGGTCTGGCATCGCTTGGTAGATTTTTTACTCTTCTTGAACGGAAAAACCTTTTTACACAGCAGAAACGCTGCATTCATTGAGCAGCCGACAATTCTGGTGTACCGTGATCTAATGTGCTCAGAGTCCTTGAAAAATCGAGCCCCTCCCCTACTTTTACGAACTTTGTGTTATTGAATAAAAGACATCTGAAAAATCTTCGTCCATAAAAACGACCTTGTCAATTGTTTTTGCCATTTTCTCTGACAAATCCGTGGTGGAAACGGTTAAATCTGCTACCCAAAGCTTTGAGTCGAAAAAATAGTTTCTTTGCAAGCAGTAGAAATTTCAAGTTTCCATCGTTGGAGAGATAGAAATTGCTAATGGCAACGGGATTTCTTGGAATTTTGGAGTCGAGGCTGGGCTTGAAATTGGCCTAAATAAGGAAGAGATTGGAATGGAAGATCGGTTTGACAGAGTGTTTGAGAAGCTCTCGGAGGAGGCAAGAGAATTGTATCTATCAAAGAATATTCCTGTTCTAGACTCCCCTCCCACCCCATTGATTTTCCTTCGTGAATATGTATCAAAAAACCGCCCCATGATCATAAGAAACGCTTTTGACAACTGGCCTGCTTTGTCGAAATGGACAAATGATTATCTTAAGAGTGAATTAGGATCGACACAGGTTACCGTCACAGTAACACCAGATGGCTACGCAGATGCTCCTTCGGGTGAATTATTCGCTTTACCGGAAGAAAGGCTAATGGAGTTTAGTACATTTGTAGAAATTTGGGAAAAGAAATCGGCAAATGGGGTGTTCTACGTTCAGAAGCAAAATTCAAATTTCACGGATGAGTTTGATAAACTCCTAAAAGATGCGGGTAAGTATTAAGATTCATTTATAGCGCCAAGAAAGTTATAAGTATGCAATGCTTCGATTTTAATTTTAACTTAATTTACTTTTCAAAACAAATCTAGTGTAATTTTCTATGTATCGTGGATTGGACATGATTGTGCATTTTAATGTGTTTTTCTATTTCAGGTCACCAGTTGGTACCAAAATATTCTAATATTTATTCAGTCCACGTGTAATTATTAAGTTGATTACAGCCAACTTTTATCTGTTGTGCTTGTTTTGTTGTAGACCACCATGTTTCCTGGGCTTCAGCGGCTTTTGGTACAGATCCAGATGCAGTAAATATTTGGATGGGGAATTCTGAATCAGTAACATCAATGCATAAGGATCACTATGAGAATTTGTATGCTGTAGTCAGAGGACAGAAAACTTTTATACTCCACCCTCCTACAGACATTCATTGTATTCCATACAAGACTTACAAGCTTGCTCAGTATAAAGAAAATGTAACTGGAACATTTGACCTTATTGAACTGTCCAGCAAAAAGCAAAATGAATATAAGGAACTCAATAAGGATAATATGTCTTTGAAAGTAAATGGTAGTGGGAGCCCAGACTACCAGGGTCTTTCTTTGCAGAATATTGAAAGATGTGAATCAAATGATCAGAGTATACCAAAAGAGGATGATTGTGACTCAGTGTCATGGATAGCCATTGATCCATTGAAGCCTGACCTTAAAAGGTACCCTAAATATGCAAAGTGTGAGAAATATGTTGCAAAAGTTGAAGAAGGACAGTTGCTGTACTTGCCATCTTTGTGGTTCCATCATGTTACCCAGGCTGATCAAACAATTGCAGTCAATTTCTGGTATGATATGGAATATGACATAAAATACAATTATTTTAAATTTGTTGAGGAAGTTTCTAACATAGTTAACTCAAAATGTGATAGCTAGTCTTTACATGGAATCATGACAGTTTTTCCTTTAAGGCCAAGAAAATCAAAATGATATGTTATCCTTCTACTCCTATAATACTTACCCTAATTGATTGGGTTTCCAAAATGTTTAGTTTACTTTTATTATTCATATAGGCTTTCTGGATGCTGAAGTAATTGATACGTAATCAGGAGCATCAGCAATGTCTCTCTGCTTCCCCAGAAATGTTCGGGCTTCATGGATATCAATCAAATATTTTGATTTCTGACTTGGCAGAGTAGATGTATAAAACATTTAATGACTTCAGCAACCATGAAGTACAATCTTCTTTCTTCTGGCAGGCTTGGAAAATTTTTGAAATTTTTGAAATTTGTTTGCAATTTAGTACTTCCTTTGATGTAAGCTACAGAAAATATGAATGTTGGTAACTTTAACATCTGTCCCTAATCATGGGAATATTTCAACCCAAGTCATTCCACAGGTATATCACCCCCAAGGTTTGTAAAGTGCCCTTTTTGTAGAAGTAACCACTATGAAAAATTGTCCTATTTTCTGCAGCTTGCTGCCTCTTTCTACCAGTGTCCCTTTCAGAAGCTTTAAAATGCTTCTGAACTCTTTTATCTAGCACCATCCTTGCTAGCAATTTAGATGAAAAACTGTAACAAGCATTTAAAAAATCGATAATAAAGAAAATTCATGCAAATACTACTTATTGTAGTATCTTGTATAATAGGGTTTTTATCAAATATTTTTGTACTGAAAGTTTTCTGGTTTTCTTTCAAACTTCAAAATTGCTGTACAAATCTAACTTTCCTATTCAGCCACCAAAACACCTAAATTAGGGTCAAGAAGGTAAACTAGAAAATCACACGCAAATTTTGTTGAAACTTTCTTTGCCTATTGTTAAGATAAACTTTGCTGGTAAATGTATACTTGAATGTAAACAAAAAATGTGTTTCCTGCAATGCTAATTGGGATTGCTGACCGTGACTTGACTTTAGCCACACCACCTGTAAACAGTAAACTCTGAAACTTTTATTCACAATGCAAATTAAAAAATGATGAATTATATTTTAATTATTTACAAAGTTTTACGTGGTACTACAATATAAGTTTGATATAAAATTGCACACTAAACTTATCTCATGCTTGTTTTGTCGTAAAAATCTAAACTGATGTTGTGCACGTTTGTACACTAGACTTTCAAACGTGGGTACAATGTAGCATCACCTTCAACACTTTTAATTCTAGGTTGGCCCAACCTAAGGGCTGACCTTGATACACTTATGGGTAGCTTTCCTTTGTCGATCTTCTTGCCATTTTATGGTTGTTTTGCCAAAATAAGAACAGGATGTCCCAACCATATATTAGAATGTACAATGTTTCACGATTTGGTAGCCTCTCAACCTGTTCCTTTTGATTCCTTCAAACGTAATGTAACAATTATGAGGCAAGTGCTCAGGTCACCTTTTCTTTAGTACTTGAACCATTTGTGTTATAAACTTTAGAAGGACGCTGTCACAGGAAATTGTTTCATTTGTAAGGCAAAGTGCAAGCAGCCAGCAACGCTTACCTTAACACTGTTCTTTTTAATAGACACACTAATTGTTTAGTTAATCGGAGGGATGGAAAAGTTTTCTAGATGACTGTAACGGTAGCTGAAAGTGCAGGTGTCACACTGTCTTTGGAGAAGATGCCTTTAACTCTCCGGTAACTTCTTTTCATGAATGCGTTTATATCTTGGTGCATTCTTGCATATATGAATGGATTCAAGCAATTGTTTACTAGTAGGAGAACTAGCGTGAATTCCGTCAGAATCTCGAACATATGTAGCTCTGCTAAAGATTTCACTCCTCGGAAAACAAATATTTTCAGCAAGATTGCCAACGGCATTGTACACAGAAAGAACAAAGTCACGATGATAAGGAACATTTTAACTGCTCGCGTGTTCTCTATATAATGTTGTGAAAGACGACGCCTCGCCTTCGAAGCAACTCTGAGAGCTTTAATGCACAGGACATAGAGTGCAATTAGAGCAATTAGAGGGACGACAATTGTTAAGCTTGACCAGGCCATTCCATAGTACAGTATAACGGTGAGTGGTACTTTCAGAACATCGTATGTGTAGAGATAAATTGGTAGATATGAAAGAAAAGAAATTGCCCATGTACAGCATATTGCTACTGCTTTCGTCTTCTTTGAAATTCGGGACTGTAGTGGTTTTGTTATAGCTCTGAAAAAATTGAATATTTCACTGTTTATGTTGAACTATATCATTGTTAAGATATTTATGACTGTTTTTAGACTACGTTGCACCTGATAATAATTATGAAATATTCCAAGCTTCAATGGTAGAAGACGTTTTCTGGGCAATGTTCCTTAAGGATACCAAACAAAACTGGTCTTCAATGGAGCAATACGAATATTCCTTATACCTAATGTTACTTTGAAACTTACACACTGCCATGTTAGTGATAACTAAACATCACAATATTACATCCTTTTTTGAAGAACATACCGAGGATTGATTTGCTTAAAAAATAAGGCTAAGTAAAAGCATGAATCAGATGAAGATTTTAGAATATAGAAAGAATTAATATTTTATAGAATGTATTTGTAGAAAAAAATTAAAGAAAGAATAACGTTTGGACACTCACGCCTTCTAAAATACACTCCTAAAAGTTAAATTATTTGTTTCTTATGAAAAAATTTGAAGGCTACATTCCGTTGGAATGCTAACACGACATCATTTTTCACTCGCTAGGGCTTTATTATAACACTCTATTGTTCTGGGGCACAGTATATTTATGCACATATCTAGTGTTATCTAAGCACAAAATACTGTTAAAGGTAAAAGAGACAGGCCTTTTCAGGTTAAAGGTCTAGAGAATAACTGAAGAAGAATCGCTAAACAAACATAATGATTCAACTTTTATTGCAGCAAATTCTGCAGGGCTCATTTTCCTACGTACTGTAGACATTTGCTGTGAATAAATTCATTCAAATTTCCTTACCTGTGTCTCTCTACCGCGATTGATACCAAAGTCCATGATGATACTGTACCAGACATTCTACCTAGATAAATGTTAATATGGTACCACACGTACGCATCGTACCGCTTCGATGAAATGCCATAGTAGTTTGGGTAGATGATATATGTAACTGGTGACGTCATGGATACCATTAAGTCGGCCACAGCGAGGGAGATAATGAACATATCACTGTCTTTTTTATGCTTCTTCGTTCCTGTTTTAAGATACAGTTTGTTAATAACCCTGGTTTAAATCATCATGTACTGCACATTTCTGTGTTGATTCTTGATGTGTGCTATGCAGCTTTTTATGTGGATATTTTAATTTGGGAACCTTCCAACCCCTTTTTCTGTTTGGCCCCTGCACGTTAGAAAGGTCTTGTACACGCTCCTAACTGTATGACATACGGCAAATCTAATCTCTTTCCTCTCAAACTAATATTAGGCAAGTGCGGTCTAAAAACCACCTTTTTGGCAAATCTTAAAGCTTTATTGATTTTTTTCATGCAATTCAAGTGTAGCACTGATTAGCACAAAAGTTAGTTAATCAGCACACATACACACAACCGGTACTTAATCAGTTTGGTCTTTGCTCAACCAATTTGGAAATACCTCTTCCCTAGCCAAAATGTGAATTACAAAATCGACGAACTTCAACAAGATTTGAAAGAAGAGGTCCCAATCATAGAGCTGTTTAAACCTACTCCCTAGTAAAACCTACTGAACTTACTGGAGCTTTCTGGAAAGGAAAATCTTACTGGAGCTAACTTAATTTACCACAATGTAACTTCACTTGGAAAACTCCTTAATGGTAACTGGAGCAGTAGCGTACCCAAGGGGGGAATAGGGGGGGTCAACTTTTCTAAAATATGGTCCTTGAGATTTGTCCAATAACGATGTAAAACTCATGGAGGGGGGAAGGTGGGATAGAATACTGTATGCTTGTGTCAATAACAATTGAAAAGTACTTTGCCATTTACCGTTGCTAGCATGAATTGAATAATGTGAAAAATTTTGCAGAAAGAGCGTATCTCTGCATTCGTGAGTGTTTGAAGGGCGTGGTCCAAAAACATTATCCCCAGACCCCCCACTGCTGCTGCCATGCGTACGCCACTGAACTGAAGCTAACTTACCCAGTACCCAACAAACCAGAGAGTTTCCAAGTATTCCAAGAACAGCGACTAAGATGTAGAAGAAAAGAAAAACTGGTCGTTGAGCGAAAACTTGATCACCAGAAGCCATGATTTTCAGCTTGTACTAAAATGCTTCTATTGATCAAAACCTTGATGCTTCAGTTGAGAGCGCAACGAATTTTCTATTTACTTCCATTTCCAGTTGGTTTATAAACTAAAAAACATCAGGTAAATAATTAAAAAGACGTAAATTTTTCCAAGCAAGTTTCGATTGAACATGCTACCTTGCACTGGAAAACAAGCTTTTCAAACTATCTGTAAAGAAATACAAATTATTTCGATAGAATATCTTGTTTACAATTACTCAATCAATTAGATTTAGTTTTCCAGTTTACTCTCATTTTCCTATAAGAGGCCGGCCTCAAGAGAAGTGTTTTCAGGGTAGCGAAGAATGAATCAACAAAAACACACATAGAAATGCTTATGGCAACAATCATTGAAAATTCATATTTTTGCATTACGTTGTTGGCTTCATACAATTTCAGCGAGTGATCTCAATCGCTCAGTGAAAATACTGTTTTGCTTTTTTAGGGATTTAATTGGCTCTCGTGCCCAATCTTCTTTCCTATGACTACATAACAAATACTTGCGCTATATATCCGACCGATTCTTCAATGTAACATGATAATGACAACAAACTAAGTAAGAACTGAAAAGGTATTATAAAGCACAATAAACATTTTATTTACCTATTTCAAGGTCGAAAATTTAACATCATCAAGATTAAGATCAAATTTTTTTGGCTAAAATCGAGCTGTCATTTTTTCCAATTCTAAACTCTCTACGCGCAAATCCCTGCTAACCAGATCAATGATTTACACCGCAAATTCCTTGCCATCCACATATACCGAAAAGTCTGTATCGATTAAATGTCATGAACACTGATCTCAACAAGAGACTGGATCGAGCTTCTCCAGCCCAGCATTGATTCCACATTGCAGCATCCATCTTGAGACCTGGCCGTGTTGTATGAGATTAGAGAGAAATTTTGATGGTTTTAGTTCAACTTGCTTTTTCATAGTAAAATTGAAAGTAACCGTTGAAACAAAAACTTGCATCATTCGTAAGAGACGTTAAGCAGACGTTAAGCTTGTGTAACAAAGAATCCACTGTTCACTTATTTTCCTGGGCCTGTTGCAAGGCCTACTTTAAGAAATTTTTAATACTGCACATTTTTAATTGTATTTTAATAGGAAATTTTTTTGCTGCAATCAGTGCAAACCCTTGCGAACCCCAGATGTCTTAGCCACGTGCCCCAAATTTTGAACACGTATATAGGCCCTGATGCAGAAATCACAAACAGACAGACGATGATATAAACAATCAACAATAACACTTCAAAACAGCCACAAAACAAACAAACAGTAGCTACAAAACTTGAATAGAACCATAGTCACTTATCTCTTGTAAACAACGGAGTCACTATCTCATGTTTTGTCTGGACAGTACAACTAAAAGGTTTTATTAGGCTCTTTATCGTTCTTTTTGTTAAGTTAAATGAGCTTCTGTTAGATGCCCAGAACATGATAGGGCAACTGATACATTGTTACTAAATGTTTTGTCTTCGACAAGATCAAATTACGAAATTTGCAGCAATGCTGACATTTACAGTAGATGTTATGTTTTTGGTTCCTGGGCATTTCGTTTTGTTTCAAGTTTTGATAAGAACGACTTTCCGATAGTCAAGCGAGATTTACAATACACGAACTCTTTATCGAACTGACGAGGAAAATGCACATTTTGTGAACAAAGCAGGAATCCGGGATAGCCGCAAATAGACATTTTCACAAATCCCAAAATTCAATACTGCATATTTTCGAAATCAATACTGCACGTTTTAAAATTAAAACTGCACAAAATGTGTAATACTGCACACTCAAATAGGCCCTGGCATGTTGTATCTTAGAATATTTAAAAATTTAATGATTAATGCACAATTTAAGGCGTAGCACTGTGTGTGCGCCGTTTTAACAAATGGCAGCCCAAAGCTTTAGGCGCGAGAGGTCTCAAGATGAGAGACTCGATTAGCTTCATCGTGCTGATGTAAGAGAACAATAGCGTAATGCTTGAATAAGCGCCCGGGCGCATATTTAATTTTTGAGAATCCAGGGTTGGGGTTTATTTGAGAGAGGCGCTTAATCAAGAGTGGCACTTATTTAAAAAGTAGATTTGGGTGCAAATTGTGTTGTTCATTAATCTTTCTTGTTGAATTGCTTTCCAATTGTGTTCTCGTTGAAAATTCGAATAAGCGCCCATTTCTGAAGGTTGAAGGATGGACGCTTCTTCGAAGGGAGTCCTTATTCAATAACTTCACCTCTAGGGTGGGCGCTTATTCGAGGAGGGCTCTTTTTTGAGGGGGGGGCGCTTGTTCTAGGCATTATGGTAGGTTGTTCGATCCATACTTTTTTTGAGATCAGTGGTCATGACTCAGGTCTGCCTCGATGGGAGTCCTTTGTATTGAGATCTTTCTTAATTCTACTCTATGCCCATTGATTCCCGTTGACTTAAATGAACTTTCTCAATTAATTTCCATTGATTCCCGTTAAAATTGTGGTAAAAAATAAAACACTTGCTTATGTATATGTTATTAGCCTGCATGCAGACTCAAAATTCCCTTTCAACTATATAATATATATTTTCACTATGATATTTTGTAGAGGGGAATCTGGCTTTTAAAAGGGCTGCCTCGCTTTGGTGACGAGACACTAAAAAACGATAGGCCTAGATTCACAAAATTTGTCCACGTTTAAACCAAAACATCACAATGAGTTACTTTTCTTATATCAATCATTTTGTTGCAATAGTTGGGGCACTTTTCCTCCGATGGACTGTTTCACTTAATCCGTACTCAGGTAGGCTGGAAATTTTAAAATTATTTATGTTCGAAACCGTTTTGTAATTGTGGGTTGGGTTGTGTCTGCTAAAAAATGTTATACTTGTAGCAGTCTGCAAAACATGACAGTTCTCGACAAGATCTTGTGTGTGCAAGAGCAAATAAAAATGTGTGCATCTGTACAACAATGCTGACAAAGTGTGCACTTTGTGTACTCTTTTCAGTTTTGGTCAAATATTCACCTTCTTAACAATGCTTCCAATGGGCAAAATCATCAAAAATATAGCCTAATAAGAAGAAGGTTCTCTCCCAATGTGTGCACAGCAATTTATTTCTGCCAGAGCGCTTTGGAACACTTCATGAATCAACATTCCAGACTATAATTTGGCATGGTTTCATTCTTATGTTTTTATTATTCTGGACCTATTTGATGGTTATTATCAGTGGCATAGCATGAGTTATTGAAGTGGGTATGTAATGGCGTTGGATGTTGTCAATAGACAACACCCCTGTTTGAGACCAACCCCCTCTAATCCCCCCAAAGCTACAGCTTTTTAAGGACATCTGATTTTTAAAATTGTGTTGTTTATGCAGGGACTTCTACCATTTAAAAAGAGACGCCTAAAACACAATCCTAAATGAAATTTATGCTAATGAAAATATAATCATTTTTTCATAGTCATCATGTTATGTATGTTTTAAAATGGATAAAATATATACATTTGATTAATACCTACAGTCACGGATGAGGGGAGAAGAGGGGTTGAGAGTGGGGCCTTGCCTTGTGCTGTTTCAACCTTGCTGTTAAAGAGTGCTGATGTTGGAAATGATGCTATGAGTCCCGCAATAAATTATCGATAGTATTGAAGTACACCTATAAATTCATAAAACTTGATGACTGTACAAATTATCTACTTGTACTGTAGCTCAGGACGAATTTTTTCATTAAACCCAATAACTGCACCATAGAAAGTGTCCTCTTCTATGATCTATCATGTCTCCCCTGTCATGTCTTGCTCATATTAGAGTACACTTTCTGAACTAAAAGCCAAGCCCAGATTCTTTATAACAATTTAATGTTGCCAAATATATTAATATTTGTTAAACCACATCAAGTGAAATGGGTACCCTGACAAGGCAGACCCCTGTATAGGCCCTCGTAAATTATCCCTATTTGAGTGCCCTTCCCTCCAGCTTTGGTGCTAAGGTAGAAATGATGAAAAATAGCATTTATAGTTTCATATTTTACTTCTCTATAATCTACACAATGCGCTTGTTCTAATCCAGATCTCAACAAATTGCTCTGAGATACATCCACATACATATTTAGGGTATGTGTTGGCTGAACCGCATGCCCTGCATCTTTATTTCTCAGTACATGGCCGTGTGACTTGCCTTACTGAACAACTGAAATGAAGAAAGCTGAGACTAGTTGCTTTCCTTTCAAAGCTTGATCCTCAACTCTTCTCCTGCAGTAAAAAGTGTCAAGAATCTTCCATAAGTATGATAAGTTATTGGTTGATAAAAGAACCCACTCTTATTTACTGAGAATTTATATCTTAAGAGCGAAAGGCCACTGTTTTAAATCAGGGAATGCAGTCAGAATTCTGCATGCCTGGAAACAAAATGTGCTTCAAACAAAGGTTGCTAGCCAGAATACACTGATTTTCACAGAGATTGATTTGCAACCTTGAGATCATAGTGAAACCTTCTTTCTTCGAGCTTCTAGTCCATAAAAATCCCAGAAGTCAATGCTCACCATCATGAATGTAATATTTTTTTTTGCATTTGTTCGAGTTCATTACACTGGTTGAGCTTGGTTTGATTTAAATGGCTTTCAGTGGATTAATCTAGAAATTTGGTGGATTAAATGGTTTTTGATGTAAATTGAAAGGATAAAGCTGGCTTTGTTTCGTTATGGTGGCCCACACGAATGTCCTTCATGCACAAGTTTTAAGACATAGCCACTTGCTGAAAATGTATGGCTAAATGTCTACTGACCAAAAAGTCACTGTGTCTTGAAATTACTTCTATCTATCGTTGCCATAATAATACACCAAAACAGCAATGGCAACACTTTGGAACTAAATCCTGATTGATAAACTCTTTGCTGGGGCTTGACCCTAAACTCTTTGCTAGGGTGCCCTATACTGGGGCAAACGTTACCAATGATGCTTGGGACTTGTGCGGATCTCAGTCAGTCAATATTAACACATTTCAGTCAACAGAATGAAATTTATTTGGAAAGAATTTTGTAAAAGCAGAAAAGGAATTAAGGATTCAAATTTTAAGACTGGAAAACTTATACTTCAGTTTCAAGCAAATTTAAGTATATTTCCTCTTAAAACAAGTCTTACTTTGCAGGAGAAAACAAGGCTCCAATGTATGGTGATTATGAAGCTCAGAGACATTGGATGGAGATAACATACAACTTGCCTGTTAAGGAATGGTAATGGTTTTTTATTGATATCTGTTGTACTGGTACAGGTACCCCCAGCTTAAATTGAAGTTCCTCAAGTTAAAGTATGATTAAGGCCAAAATTATGTCTTGATTGTTCTGTCTATATGCACATATGTTATCACTGTCTTTATTGAAACTTCAGATTTCAGAGAGAAATCATCCAGTCCATGCAAGAATAGGTGCTCAAGCTTGATCAAGCCCAAATGCACCTAGATAGTTTTTTGAGCTGAACCAAGTGACTTTTTCTAAAAAACCAAAGCCCCCTTAGTATTATCCATAAGTGTACTTTAAACAGTACAGAAAAACCATGCTGTTGAGCTTTGGCATGTGGAGCCACCCTCCCCAAGCTTTTAGCTGACGCTGCCAGGAAATTTTTGACACAAATTCATTGCAGGAAATTGTTGATGTTTGCCAGGAAATTTTTAGCGTGAAATCTCCATTGCTTGATTTCAATATGAACATTAAATTCATGTTACAATATTTCTACAGAATGCTGTTTTCTTACATACATACTGTATAATTTTTGTTCTGCACCACTAACAAAAAAAGAAGATTAGCTTTCAATCATCTGGTATTATAAGCGTCTGTTATGCCAAATTTTTGTGCTTGATTTTCAGCTACTAATTTAATTCCAGCAATCTAAAACAAAGTTCATTCCTTTTTTTACATTATTAGCCATTCTAAATATGTAAAAACACTTAAAGACAGCCAATCTTGTTACGTCAATTTTTTTGAAGTTGAACATGCCCCAAAACCTGTGTGGATGTGTCCATTATTATTCGTATTTTTCTACTGGCATTCACAGATATTTTTTACATTTGCTTTATAGAATGTAAGCATTTTGGTCTTAAATCTTTGCCTCTAGCACCACCCCTGATTTAAAACATTTATTTTAACCATTTTAAAATAAAATAGTATTCTTACATGTTGTATGAACTACTAGCTTTGATGATAAACCCACCCAGAGCAAGATGTATAGATATATCAATACTTATAAAGTATCTAGTTTGCTAGTACTGTTATGAAATTTAATCAAAGTTATTATAAATTTTCAGATCTACTTTCTTTAACCTTGAAAAAAAAACTATGAGTATCGTGCTTGATCACGTTCTTCTTGATCATCTAATAGAGTATAAACAAAATGATTCCTGTTTGAATAGCTATGATCAAGAAAGCAGGACCAACAATCAGTTCTTTTTAGTGTGACAGTTTGTTTTAAGGACAAATTTTTAAACAAATCAAGCAACTTGAAATATCAATTTCAGTTGCTGGACACTTTCTCGAAGCTTTGCAGGAAATCTTGAATTTTCTTTAATCTTGAAGTATAAGGTCCAATAAATACTGGATTTATTTAAATTTCCAAGCCCAGGGGCATGATCTATCAGGAGCCTCAAATGTTTGGTGCAACCTATTAAATGTTACTTTTTTTTAATTGATTTTATGATCAAATACTAATTTGAAATCTTTCAGGTATGTGAATTCAAGCAAAAATGATCTTCTCTACTGGGGACTTGATTACCCTCCTTTAACAGCATACCACAGTTGGTTTTGTGGACTAATGTGAGGCATTTTGAAATTTTCAATTTTTACCATAAATCTTTTATCACTTTGTCTACCAGATTGCATTTTTCCTTCTTACTTTATGTAAACTCTCAGATATGTTTTACATTCTTTTCAGCAACTTTTTGTAAATATATTAATCTTTTAAATATTTAAGGGGACTTTTGTGTACCTAAGATGACTGTTTATAAATTGTAGGGATGCCAGTCATGATTAGTGCATTCTGTTTATTTCATTTATCTTCAATATGAGAGTTATGGAATTGTTTATTATGTAATACTAGGCCCCTTGAAATCAACTTCATAATTTTAAATGTCATAAATACCACAAGTTTATCTTTTAGCAAGTTGATGAGTAAGTTACTTTGCTATTTTAGATCCAATTATATTGACCCAGCATGGGTGCAACTTGGTGTTTCTCGTGGCTTTGAAAGCTATCACCATAAACTATTCATGAGATACACAGGTAAACATAGATGGATATAGTACAGTTTCCACACTGCCAAAAAAGTCTCCAAAAGATATAAATCTAGATTAGCAGAATACATTTTTTGTGATGAAGCACAAGTGAAAACTGCCTTATACTTTCTTTATCACTTTGAATTTTTCTGAAGAAGGTAATATTCTTTTTAAAATTTGTGATGTGCTGCTGGCAATAGGTTTTTTGTCTAAGAATAGCTTCTTCCAACTTTTCTGTTTTGATTTATCAATATTTTTCAGATTTTTTTTTAAGATTTTTCTATTGCAGAATTTCTTGATAAAATTTGTTTCAAGTTGCAAACCATTTGCTTCTTATGTGTGTTATAAATCATAAAAAAAGATTTAAACATGCAGATGTGAGAAAACAGAAGTAAATTTTTTTCTAGCTAGACTATAACAGCATCAATGCTGATTTAGCCCTGGCAGTGTCATGAAAAAAGGGTTTAGGGGTAAATTGGAGTCCTAAAAAACTTCAGAAAAAAGATTAAATTTTTCTTCATCACGAAGTTTGTTTGTGTATTTGGATCAAACTCATTGTCTGCTCTGAGTTAATTTTTGTTGATTTCTGACCAGCCTTACTTTGAATCTTGGAATGCTGGTTTTTGTTGACTCTAGCCCTTTAATGTACCACTAGGAATTTAGGACATTTTAGCTAATAGATATTTGTTATTCTAGTACTAACTGCTGATGTGCTAATTTACATGACTGCTGTCCTAGCATTCATTAATTCAGGCCTTCCAAAATTGACAGCAAGCAAAAAGGTTTGTTGCATTCTTGCATCACAAATAATTGTCACTTTTAGATGGCAAAACTGTCTGTTTACCTAGCTCTATTCTTACATGGAATTCCTTATTGTCAAGTGCCATCAAATTTTTGCTACACTGTGGTGTTAGATGTAATTGCCCCGAGTTTAATGGGGTAACTGAAATTTGGATTTCGTGAATTGATCCAAAGAAGTTCTTATTTTGTTATTTTTTACCAAAGGGTTGTATCTTCTGAGATTTTCGTTACATTTGCCAAACAATGTTACGCACTGCTTGCAAGACCCTTGAGAAACGGGCCATTTTTAAACTTGGAATCTTACCCCCAACAAATCTAATAAATAGCTTCCTATCTTCTATTGCATTATATATTAGATTTGTTAGTGTTGTCTGTATTCATGCTTATCCATTTTGCATCCCTTCCGCAGTGTTTTTCATCCTAAGTCATTTTTCTTTTGCGTTCTGTATATCCAAACATTTGACTGTATTTTTCTACTATTTTTTTAATCGTCGTTCTTTCGTATTCTTCTTTGATGACGAAATGAATGCTATTGAATATTTACTTGCAGTATGTTTGCTAGCTAGCATTATGCACAAGTGACTTGTTTCGTTCTATCCATTTCATTAATAGCATGCCTTATGCCTACCAGCATTAAGGATGTGTACAGCAAGTGATGTTATTCATTCACGTTTGTCTTGAAATTTTGGGGGGATCTTCAGTTGACCTGAAAATGCCTCAGGTCGGAAACTTTTCAGCTCAGCTCAGCCTGCTCTAAAATATACTGTCGCCTTACCAACGACAGTTTTTTCAACCATAGAAAAATTTCTATCTATTAGGGAAGATGTCAATTTTTCTACGCCTCAAAAAGATTTGGTCGCCTATTAATTATTTTCCTGATTCGTCCAATATGTAGCATTCACAAGCAAACGATATTTGACAGAATGAAAAAGCGTATGTTTAAGCTTTAGGTCTACGACAGGTACAAAAATAACACCACAAATGACATTTGTTGATCTACTGTTTAGTGGAGCTCAGAACTTGCAAAAATCTATAATGGGTACCCTTTACTTCAAATTTTGAAAAATCTGTCGCTGTAAGGAAAATAACCTTATTCTGTGTGAGCACCACAATGGGCTTGTTTGATTGCCATGGTATGGTGTGTCCATTATACCATGGATCAAAGAAAACTGATTGGTCAACAGAGAGCCAATTTGACGCTTTTGTGTTATAAAACCAAGTCTCCTTTTGGTTTTTGCTCAGAGTTTGAGTAGCAACTTGAAACCATCCTCTCCTTTACACCAAAAGCGAAGTACACAATAAATTGAATTATCGTTTAAGTTGAATAAGTAGAATGTCCTGACTGTGTTGGATGTGTATGTACTTTAGATAGACTGTGTTGGGTGACAAAAGGCAAATAACGATGTACGTTTTTGTTGACCTCCAAATCTCAGTAAACATTAAAAAGCCAAGAATAGTTTTTCAGATGACATGTTTCAGTGAGTATAACAAAGAATTGTCTATCAAATTTTATACATTTTCTCTCTGAGAAGACCCAGTTTGATAGACACTGGCCAAAACCTCAATTTCACGGTAATTTTTTATGCATATCATATGGTGTCCGTATTTATAATTTATAGTAATCCATTTTGGAAAACGTTTCGTTACCACTACCAGACAAATGCAGTATTCGTTGTGGGTCAGGAGACTGTATTAAACAAAAGTAATTGCGATCTTTTTTCTTCAACAGAACATATTGCTTGGGCTGATTCTTGCTTATCCTGGACTGATTTTAATTGACCATGGCCACTTCCAATATCCTTTTAATGATTTCTTTTAGGTTTCTGGTTTTCCATAACTACCAGACTTTTCAATTATTTATTCTACCGTTCTATTACAAAGTATGAATCGATTGACGTAATTAATTTCAGAGCAATTATACTATTGTTAGAGTAGATTCTGAAATGTTGTTTTTTCAAAAAACTAACTTTCTTGGTTTCTTGGCTTTTTTTAATGTTTTGAGGTGTCTAGGCTAATTTTACATGTACATAAAATCGTACAGGTGGCTTTGATTTTTAAAAGATCAATAAGGCTTTAGAGGCAGTAGAAGTCTGGTTATTGCGCCTTTACCAACATTGTTTTGAAATATATTACTTTTTCTTTCACAGATTGATTTGACTTGAAAATAAAAAATTCTGAAAAATCCGATTGATTAATTCATATTTTTAGATAAGCAGCTTTATGTTAAACTTTCCGCAAAAGTGACGGAATTTCTCTTTCTGTTTGGCCATTTGTTACACGGATTTTTATTGTCAGAAATGAATTTGTTGGGCCTGTGCAAATATGAGCCCTTTGCAAAGATGCAGAGGCATGGGTCCTCTTTTAGTTAGCAGCGTATACATTCCTTTACCTAGAAACAGGTACAATTGCATCAGTCTTGGTTTGTGTGTTTGGGCCGTCGTGTTACTTGTTCAAAAGCAGGCTATCGCTGGTGCAGTTTTCTTTTCATTGGCCTTGAATTACAAACAGATGGAGCTGTATCATGCATTCCCGTTTTTCTTCTATCTGGCTGGGTTATGTTACAAGCAAAATACTTGGTAAGCATGCACTGATCAGGACTAAGGTGCTTGGGTTTCTTCGAAAATGGGCTATATTCCTGGTACTAGTATTTGCTTCTACAGTACCTTGCTTTGGAAGTAAGTTCACTGAATGCAACATCAAATGTTTTACAAAGAAATGAGCTAGAAAGATTTAGGACAAATCTATCAACATAGCATAATAAGTACATATATAGCAAAGCAGACTTTCATTTTGCAAAATTATTTTGCCAAAGCTCTCTAATATCTGTCAGTCAAATTGCGAAAGTACTTCTATTCATGAAGAAATATGTAGCAATTGAAGAGGTTTGTGTTTAGGAATTCTTATGAACTTTCCCCATGAGTCACAATTTACGCTATTGAATTGAATTGATAGACGCTCGATCTGTTGTATCCTCCGCAAAGTGAGGCAGTAGCGAAGCAGAGACTTGTAGCGTAATCTAGAATGCTACCAAATGTAACTCACGCGTCAGATACAGTAATATTAATGAGCTATCTTCCAATTTTTGATACAGTAGTAATTTTGTCCTTCTGTTACCCTTTCCAAACAAATGAGGTCCTTCTGCATCGACGTTACTGCAATAAGAATGCGATTAAAATTATCTTCTTGATTTCTTCAGGTTCCGATCATTTATAAAGATAGTTGGTATTGGTGTTGCAGTGATAACAACTTTCGTAATTTGGTTAGTATACAATTTCTTTGTACTGGGTTGTTTTATCTCATACACATGTTGTACGATTCGCTGTCGTAACAGTTAGCGAAAGTTACCCGTACCTATCAATATTTTTTCGTGTTTTGAAAGTAAAGGTTTAGGCTCTTTTAATCACCTTACGGCCTTAGAGGAAGTAATTGTCTCACGAAACGTTTTCCCCTTTTTTCATGTTTCGACCTTGTGCTAAATTTTAGCTGAAAACCTTCATGTCATGCTACTCGATAATTATGCAACAAAGTCTTTATTTATTTTTAAAAAAGATCAGATTTGTGCAAGGAATTGACCGGATCGAAAAAACCGAGCATAGATAGCTTCTTTTAAACATCTACGCAACTTTATCTCTAGATATGATGTCAATAGTACTTTGTTTCAGCATTGCCCGCAGTGTCTATGCATTCCTTATCTTTCAACTTAGTTTTCTTTATGTCGCTGCAATCAAATATCATCTTACTATACGCAAGTTGATACAAAGCAATCTTACTTTTCGTTTTATTGGTTTCAAGTTTCCAAAAGCAATAAAACCATATCTACATATCCACTTGATCTAAGGCTTTGCTACTTTACGACATCAAAACGGAAGAGTACCAAATCTCAAAAACAGCTTAGACATAATCTGTTTAATATTCGTTGCGTAGTAACCTTGAAATATCTTCACCACCTGTCTTAACTTTTCTTCTTCATTCGTGTTATAGTTGGCTGCCGTTTCTAAGCGACTTATCCCTTGCACTTCAAGTGCTGCATAGAATATTTCCATTTGCTCGAGGACTCTATGAGGTAAACGCTTCTAAATCTTCGGTAGATGAGCGAAAGACAGTAAACTTCCGATTACTCGAACCGGCGATAACTCGAGCATTTGCTAAGTCAAACTGATATAGATTCCCCTTGTAGATACTTTTATTCGAATATCCCCTCAGTAGCTCAAACATTCGCTATCTCGAACCATTTCATTGGTCCCGCGGATATCGGGAGTTTACTGTGCCTAGGTTCTTTTTAGGCATGTGAATATTATGAGACTTTTTCGAACTTTATTTTGCTGGATTTTGTCCATCTTGCTTCAATGCAAAAAATGTTTCTGTATAATCAATAAGCTATTTTGAACATATGACTCCCTTTCTGTATTGTTTATTTCGCGGCAGATGTCGCTCATTCTAATGCCATGTTTTTGTCAGATTATTGTCGAAGTGAGGGTCCTATATTCTTTGAGAATACTTTGTGCAGTGTTCATAACGTGCTTTGGTCTTAATGACACAGTGACTAAACCAATAATTAGAATAAAATTGTTACCATTTGTCATAGATGTTTTATTGCCCAATGTTAAACTACATTAAACAATTGCCTTTTTTTCATATTGTGTCTAGGACAAAGTTGCAAACTTTTGGTGCTCGCTTTCTGTCTTAATAAAGATAAAAAATATCCTGTCCGTGCAACGTACAGTTCAGATGTGGTAAGTCTTTAACGTTTTTTGTAAATTTACTGTTGTTTTATTTGCTTTTAAATTCTTTGCAAAGAAACATTATATTTTGTAAGGCAATAGGGCTTGACTTTCTTATCAGCAGAATTGAAAAATTACTGACCTCCGAATAATTTTTGTTTTATTTGGCAGTTTTAAGAAGTGGCAATTTCAAAAATAGGAAGCTTAGGTTCTCTAAACCTGCTTGCATATAATCAAACTTAGGTAAAAATTAAAGACGAAAAGAGTGTTTTGATTAAGCTATGAGGGATCAGTTTTTATTCAAAGTGTGTCAGACACGGCTGTGCCTCTGTTACCCTTAAGAATTTACAAATAATTCTGTTAAATTGCCAATGTAAAATAAGAAGGCGTTAATGTTATTGGTTTGCTCTTTTTCATTTTCGCAGCCTTATCACCACGCTTCTAGTCTGCATTCCAACAAGCATTGATCTTTTCTTCCGACCAACAATAAAGAAGTTCCTTTTGAGTCTGGTAAGCCCCATGTCGCCTATCCTCTCCCTGCAATATTTCGAAACTTCTTCTTTTTCTGAGATTAGCGCATATCATATCATGAATTTTCTCTAAAGCTATGCGTTTTTCTCAGACTCATTTATCGCCTTTCAGTTTCAGTTAGGTTGTTCATACTTAAGCCGAAAACCCACTCCAGAAAATGATCCGCCGATCGGATCAGATTTTGTGTTGTGCACGCGCTTTGGATGCAAAAATGGTCACATGACTGAACGCGACGGATCCAAAAGGATCGAAAAAAAAATTGAAATCATTTCAACTTTTTTTGAACTGTTCCGGTACAGTGGGTTTCTTTTGATCAAAACCAAATTAGAACTTTTAAACAATAGAGCACTTGCGTCATGAATTCCAATCTGAAACGATCCGCTGATCGAACGGAACTGATCAGAACAACACGATCTGATCCGATACGCGGATCGTTTTCCAGAGTTGGTTTTCGGCTTTATGATTTATGGATCATATTATATATGAAACGACTCCTTTACCGGTCTTTCCTTTACGATGCGCGATGGCACCTCATAGTTGCCTGATTATTACATAAACGTGCAACTCGGATTGCAACCTAGGACCTCTTGTTCTATACACAAAAGCTTACAATGAAGATATTTCTGACGTAATTCTAAAAATTTTCTCCTATACAGGTAAATTGCTCTCTTGCGTTTTTCCTTTTTTCGTTCCAAGTTCATGAAAAGTCTATTCTAATTGCTGCTTTGTAAGTATTACTAAAGTTTCTTTGAAACATCACTTCCCCTTTATATAGTTTTTAGACTTTTTTTTAAGAATCCTTATAATACCGCCTTAAACTTTTGTTGCAAAATTTTCCTTCAAAATTTTCAAAATTTTCCTGCTCTATTATGTTTGATATTTAAGCCATTTTTATTAAGTGTGCTTTGAAGTATGGTTATGTTGTAAATCTCCTTTTTATTTTCAATTCTGTGAGAAATGATAAGATCAAGATATATCTTATACAAAGTTATTATTAATTACTTTTGGCGATAAAAACAAATGTTGTTTTCTTCCATGAACAATCTAAAATTGAAATCTCTGTATTGATCGGTTTCTTATACGAAGAAATTTAATTTCATTCAATGAACACCGCACGAATTGGTCAATTCATATTTTTGGCTGGAAATCATCCTTCTACAAAATTCAATGCAGAAGCCTCTTAACTTATAATCAGTTTGATTGTTATTAATTCAATAAGATGGCAAATATCAAATATAATTTTAGTCTTAGCATATTATGTACTTTGTGAGCAACAATTTCTTTATCTTTCTTGTCAATTATTAGTGCATTCTCAAAATGTTCTTGATATTAGTCATTAAGATTACGAATAAAGTCGTGTACATTCACAAAGTGTGACGTTTGCCTATTTGCCACAAAGTGACGACAGCCTGCATAAGACCTAGTTACCTTGCGCTGATTACTATGAATATATATTGAGGTCTGAACAATTTTTTGCGGTACAGAATTTGAAAATGGCTTTGAAAAAAGCAAATATTTTACGACATACTAAAAGCTTTTTCTAACGTTTTATGCTCTGAGGAGTGTCAGACGAAAAGGCTTTTAGTATGTCGTAAAATGTTTGCTTTTTTCGAAGCCATATTGAGGTCTGTAAGTTGAAGTTACAGGCAATTTTGCATTTTCAGGCCCGTGTGCTTATTGCTGCCAACAATGCCTTTGGAATGTGTTTGGTTTTTGTTAATATCTACATTCAGGTAATATTTGCTTTTTTGTTACATGCATTGCTCAGTATCAAAGATGAGCATCTCTTTTCGTTTATCAGTTATTTCATAATTACAATATTATGAAATATTAGAATCCTGGAATGTGAAAAATATATATTAATATTATTTAGACTGATATATATTATAGATGTGATATTTTTGTTTCTTTATGCTTATCATATTTTTCTGGCAGATTTATCATCTTCTGGATTCTAATAAGAAGCAATATTCTTCCTTGGATTTCAAATTCTTCCTTGATCGCCTGTAAGGAAATGAACACGAAGCACTGGTCAAATTTTGGCAGTGTTTCATAATTGAAATCATTGCCTTTTTCTGAAGATTTATTTCAGTTACCATGCTTAGGTCAAGTAAATGGCAGAAAATTTATATTTAGGTAACTTGGTACCTTTGCTGTGTTTATAAACCACGATTATTGACAAAATGCTTAGAAACCATATGGCTGAAAATTCGAATTCACACCCTGCTAAAAATCCACAGTTATGCATCCATTTCTTCGTAATCACTCAACCGAACTTTCTTCTTTATTTTTCAGCATGTATCCTTTACTTGAAAGGGATGGGCAAGCAATTTCTTACACTGCCTTGATGTTATTGTTTCTTATATTGGCCAATCAATTCCTCGATTTGAGGAAACAACCCAGAGCAACTCGAGTTCTAGTAAGTGCCCGATCTTCGTACTGTATTTAGCGTTTAAGCTAGGAGCAAACAACATCAGAACAAAAAGATTAGAAAGAAGTTTCTTGTCTATGATAATTGTTTCTTGTATCAAGTGATTTCCTTTTGAATGAGGGTGGTTTTGTCCGTTTTTTTCTCAGCGTTTTCTGTTTAGAATTTTTTCATCAAAACTCTTAAATTTTCTAATTTATACTTGATTTTAGTTTTGTCCACGTTTCAGCGTTATAAAGCTGTTTTGTTTAATTATAGAAAGTATTCAGTATATAAGACTATTACAAACTGAAAAGTTTGCTAACTAGACAATATTCATTGGTAGAACGCAAAATGTATTGTTTTCAATTTTCCGATCCATTCCGAAACTTTTTTTCATAGAACTACTTCAAATAGCACTCTTACTTTAAACTCTGAAAAACCTTTCGTATTGATTCAATCATATGATATTTTTTCAGTTTGGGCTTTCCATTGCTGGCTCAGTCGTCATACATCTACTGGCATTAACCATCACTCCACCACAGCGTCTCCCTGACTTGTTTGTTTCAGTCCGTCATTTGCCTTGCTATTCCTGCGGTCTTTTCTGTTGGGCCTGTGCGTGTTTAAACTCACAGTCCAATGCAATACAGACCTTCAAAAGAGACGTATGATTTCACAACAGAGAAAATTAAAAGTAATTAAAATAGAGTTCTTTGAGACTTTGATTGGGAAGGGACTATTGGCAAATTTGCATCTTTTATGATTCTATTAATTATACTCAACATAAGATTGAACACGTGCTTGTAATTATTTAAATAATTCATCCTTTATTCTCTACTTTGAAAACTAGCAATCAACTAAACAAAATATTGAAGAACCATTTACTTATGAGATGAAGAATCAAGTTCAGGTGTATATATCTTGTGGATAGAGACTGGGGAAGAATTTGAAACTTTCCAGGAGGGAGGGGGAAGGGGTTTCACAGGCACTGAATAGTAAGAAGAAAACAGACTCCTGTTATTTTCCCATTCCTTTTGGGGAAAAAGGTTCAGTGAACATTGATGTAGTTCAGTGCTCATTTGAGGCCCGAAATTTGAGGCGTGTACCTTGGAAACAGTTGGCATGCATTGACAGATTTAGAAATAACAGTTTATTTGGTTTTAAAAATTACTACTTGTTGAGCATTCAAGGCTATTTTGTTATTTTATCGGCTCTTGAAGTTTAGGCTAGGCTGTTATTATAAACTCTATTGAGTGCTTATTTTCTAATTCTGTTTGGATACCCCTAATACTGCCGTTCTAAGGTGACCCAGTTGAGTTCGAAAATGTCATCTGACGTAACAGTCGATAGGCTGGTTCTATGATGCTTGAATTCAAAGGTCGACTACCGCTTCTCTGTGTAAATGACATCTGCCAGGCTCACTGCTTGTGTTACCATGTCCATTTTGTTCCTCCATTTGTATTTCAAGCCGTCTTTTACGTCTCAGATTTTCAAGACTTGGTCGCTCACACTGTGCTGCAAGTTTCTGTTTCATTTCAATGATGGGAACTGGCAAAGCAATAACCAAAATCCCAGCTAGACAAAAAACGGCAGCGACAATTTTGCCAATAGCTGTGCTCGGTGTGATATCGCCGTAGCTGAAAATCAGTTTTGAAATTAAAATACTTATGGCCTACTTTTGACTGACTGGCAAAATTACGTTATGTCCAAATCATGTGACAGATAGTAAGTGTAGGACTAGCTCCAACAGACCATGTTTGACCTAACTAAAGCTCTGTTTATATGGGGTAAACTGATATTTAAGATTTTCGAGAGTTCGTTTGGTTAAAAGTAAAATTACGCATTTTTTAAATAAGACATGTGTACAAGAAACATTAAGCTCGATATTCTGAAAAACTTTTTAAAACACTGAAAGCTTGACATCGAAAATATTCAAAACCGCCTTTGGTACCGTAAAATTTGAGGAAAGCACCGAAAAGCAAAAACAGCCTACTCCAGTACTTTTCTCTAAAACTCCGTTACCTTTGTTACTTTCGTGCCGTATCTGGATATAAATTTCCTGCTTACCTCTGGTCACTATCCGACTTGTTGGGGGAGACGAGCAAGAAAAAGTTTAATGGGTGAGGCAATCCTTCGTCCTGGAGTCAAAGAGGATGCATGAAACAACGTTATAGTGACTCCAAGAAGGAAGGTTGCCACGCTTATTTGAAGATTTTTGCTCGCTCGCCTCCCCAACAACAACGTTCATACTCTGAGGAGTGTGGAACAGAAAAGTACTTTAATATGTTATAGTTCTGCTTTTCTTTATGTTTTAAAAATAACATTCTTAAAGAACAAATTTATAACTCAAAATCAACTAGAACTGGAACAGTTCTAAAATCAATACTAGAACTGGACACATAAAATCAACTAGAACTGGACCCGAGCGGAGAACTTACCACACCAACACTTTCTGATGTAGTTTTGGGCGTAGATTACGAATTTGAATGTTGATCAAGTGTTGGAGGGGGCGTTTCCGAGAAACAGGGGGTCAAACCCTAAAAATTGGGGAGTAATTGACCTGTCAGGCACTGATTGCTTGTGATGATTTTTATGGCAGTTAAAACATAATATTACTTATAATTAGCTCTATATCAGCGAATTTGGTCATTATAAAACTGGTTCCTATTTTTGGGGGCCTATGAGCTTTTAACATTTCATCTTGTCGGAAGAAAAACCTACAAAATTGCATTTTTCAAACATTTTTCAGGGAAAATGCAGCTAGAATGTATTTTAAATGAAGCTGCTAGACATTAAGGGCTCCAAACGCTTTATGTTGTTTTCCAGTAAAAAAAAGGAGCTAAAAGATATTATTCTTCATCATTTTCTCCATCAATGAAAATCAGTTTATGACGTCAATTGTTTTTACACTTTCTTAGGCCTACACCGTATCGAAAATGATCCTCCTTCGGCTACATTCTTTTTTATAAGAGCCAGAAAATTTTAGTTCAAGCTGGTTGTTCTTGTTGAGTTTTTTCGAAGATATGCAGATAGATTCTTCTTAACTTTTTCTAAAATTATTCGGGTGTAAGCCGTGCAATGTTAGATTCATCGCTTCCGTTTTCTTCACAAAAAATAAGCAGAAATATGCACGATATAGCTCGCGCTATTGCCAACAGTTGCAAAATCTAGATGCAACACATCCTGGAGTTAAGGAAGAGCTGCAAAAGAAAAGGCTCTCCTTGTGTCACACTAGCACTGGCAAATATGATGAAGCTGGGAAAAGCATTTGGAGACCTTTTAAGACTAGCAGATTCATTGAAAATACATTCTAGCCGCATTTTCCTTGAAAAATGTTTGAAAAATGCAAATTTTGTAGGTTTTTTTCCAACAAGATGAAATGTTAAAAGTTCATAGGCCCCCCCCCCCCCCCCCCCCAATATATAGGAATCGGTTTTATAATGACAAAATTCGCTGATATAGAGCCAATTATAAGTAATATTATGTTTTAACTGATTTAAGATTACTACAAGCAATCAGTGCTTGATAGACCAATTACCCCCAATTTTTGGGTTTTGACCCCCTGTTTCTCGGAAATGCCTCCTCAAGCACTTGATCAACATTCAAATTCGTAATCTGCGCCTAAAACTACTTCAAAAAAAAGTTGGTGTGATAAATTCTCCGCTCGGGTGACAATAGCCTCCCTCCAGCCTCTGGACTATCTAGACTTGAAAATACAACGTCAAATGTTTTTACAGACTCGGTAAAATGTGAACAGGAGTTTCTCATTTTTTGTGCCAGCTGTTTATTGGTAGTAAAAAGTCCCCAAAAAAACAATAAAGAAACATTTGAAGTGGAAATGGTCCTAAAATACCGAGAATCAGCGAGGCAGAAACCAATTGCTGTTTTTTTGTATAATAAATTTGGGGCAACAGCAAAATCATGGCATCTGTTTCAATCTTTTGCTGCTTTAAGAAATATATTGAGTTGATAACAACGTCAGGACGATAAATAAAAGTTAACATAGAATAGCATCAGACCGAGCATAGACTCTTGGGGTATTCCAGAAAACATTTGGCAGTTATCATATATGTTTTTGTGCTGAATTAGTACCTGTGTATTACTCCATTTGCAGCAATATTTATCTTGTTTTGGTAACATGGTGAGACATTTTCAGGTGCTAACAATTATAGGCTGTTTTAGTTAAATATGTTATGGATGAAGAAATAGTTTGTCTATGTCGACACTGACAAAGTTTCGAGTACAGCGGTAATGTTTGTTAATGGTAAATGCCAAAGACATAACGATTAATGTTTTTAGTTGAAGTGCAAAGCTAGATTGAAAATTGTTTTGGAAAAATAATGAAGTCCGGTGCAACGAGATCTTTACGAAATCAAATTACCAAATTAACTTACCCAAGGGTCGTCATAGTTTGGGCGCCGAACCACATAGCTGCTGGAATCGATGTGAACTCGGGATTCCCTTCCAACTGCTCCATATAGAATATTATCGACGAGAAAATAAGAACGCACAAAAAGATTGTAAAACAAAGGAACAGCAGGTCTGGTGCACTTGCTCTTAAAGACTTCGCAAGGTTCTGCAGTCTTTCGGATATTCGCATCAGTTTGAAAACTCTAAAGATGCGAAAGACCCTGAGAATTACCAGTGCTTGGACCTCTGCGTTGCTGCTTTCGCTGAGCGCCTCAACAGTTACGTTGATGAAGAATGGCAATATGGCGAACGCATCTACGACTGTGTTTAGTGACCTCAAGTGTTTCAGCCGGTCTTTGGATGCATATAGTGACAAACAGAATTCCACCAGAAATATAATTACGCATATTGTATCCGCTACTTTGAAAACGTTCGGAAACTGTTCTCCGCATTTTTTCTCCCCGCAAGAAACAGTCTCCACTACTGTTGTAATAACGCTGACGATAATTGCTGACGCAACGAGATAAAAAACGAATTTGCCAACAAAACTTACTTCTGGGTAACGCATTATGACGTGTAATTTGCCCCTGAATGTCTTTCCTGATAGCAGTTTTGGTGGCAATGGAAAAACAACAGACTCCAAGTGTTCGTCATCGTCAACTCTGCTTAGAAGAGGCTCAAACTCGTCCCTGCAGCAAGGAGCAATGTATTCAGCGTCAATGCGGTAGAAGTCTAGCTCCTCCTCATAGGGAAGCTCGCACTGCTCTGCCGAGAAGTGTAGCTTGCCTTTCCGGTAGAAATTCAAAATATGCCGGAAAAATCCTGGATCTCGGTCAAAGAAATATTCCCGACTATTGTAGTCAAAATATTTCTCTTTTTGGTTTGATCCGAGAAGCGTGTCAGGGTATTTTCTTAGCGTACTTTCCCATGTTTGGAATTTTCTGCCTCCAACATTAATCCTCACACGGCGCTCAGTCCATGTTTCTGATTCGCTATCACATTGATTCACAAGTGAAATCCTCGGACTGTCGAAAGGATTAATCGAGCCAGGGTCGACGTCATCATCAAAATAGACATTCTGTGTACTTCCTTCGCATTTAGGCGGTTGGCCCGTTATAAGCTCGGTTTCAACATCTGTCATCCTCGATTGGATACAGATGCTAATTTTCTTAGAGCGATAATTGTGTCAGGCTTCAGGTTTTGTCAAGACAACTTTTTGTCCCCTGCTCCCTTTTTGTTCCCTACAAAAGTAAGAACTCGTATTTGCTTTGTATAACATGAATTCAAAAAAGATAAAGTCGCATGACAAGATCGCTTAAAAAATGTGCATCGTCTACCTTGATCAAGCTTATGAACGTCTCAAGATTTTAACCCCTAATTTCTGCTGTGTTGTTTGTGCTTTACAGAAACAAATGATATTATTGCAGTTTTCAAGCCTTTAAATGCAAAATTATCCTATTGTCCTTTTGTTATACTTGTGACAGCTTTTTTCTTGCTGGTTTTTTCTGGTTTAAATTAGATTTCTAGTTTAGAATATTTGGCATAGTTGTCTTTTTATTACGGCAATGATTTCAGAACTTATAGTCTTGTTGCACCATAACCAATACACCAAGCAACTGTTCTTTCGTGGTCCCGTGAAATTATTATGACGTCATATCCAGAACAGGCTATAAAAGCAAACAAAGCGACAATGCTGTGACCTTCCAAGGCAGGTGAAATCTGTCTGCCTGTATTAGTCACTTGCAGACAGATCTGGCATCAATATTGTGACTAATCAGTGATCAGACCACTTTTATTAATTTCCATGTTTCGTAAGACTCAAATCGCATTTTTTGACCTCAAAACTTCAAAGATTAGTTATGATTAATTATGATTAATCATATTCATGAATATAGACTGACAGACGTTAATCATAAATATCTTCTCAAGACGCAAGATTTTTTTGTATTGGAACTTGAAATATCGCTAGAGTGGAAGATCGCTAGAGTTGTGCTAGGCCGTTTGCAGAAACAAGAAGTGATCGACTGACATTTAGTGATGTGTTTATACAAAAACCTGCTGAAACAGTTAATAATTGAGTGCGTAATTTGGTCAAGATTGTGTGGTAGCCCTAAACACTCTGGCTTTATTTCCAGACCTTTCCAATTTCGCTTCGTGTATACACACAAAATATTTCTCCAAAACATTTCATATAGCAGTAACCATCTGTTTGAAAACGTCAAAGCAGGTCACTTGCGATGCGTTTTTCTTCTTTGGCCAAGAGTTACATATATGAAAACTGTTTTGAGTAACTATAAAAGGCAATGCGGTGCAAAAGGCTTGTGTTTCATTCAATCTGTGTGTTTCTCGTCCTGTTTACACTCATTTTCTTATAAGGAACTGGCTATAGGAAACGAGTACTGGACAGTCAGAAAAAATTAAGAAACTTCAGTACTCGAAGCAAAAAATTAGGAAACTATTAAGTCGTGATAAAACTGAGAACAACGAAATTTTGTAAAATCCAAGAACATGATTGCCCTGATGGCCTAGAAATTAAGAAACAAGGGGTAAACATATACTTCCCACATCTAATACGGCATCAGAACGGAAGCGAATCTCTTGACGTGAAAAAGGTCACGAACATTTCATAACATCATTCATGACATCATAATTAAGAAACTCTTAAGAAATATTGAGTATTGAAATTTCCAGAACATTAAAAAACTGGAGTACTCAACATCGACCTTTGTTTCTTTTAAAAAAAATTAGTGTAGCGCATATCATTTGATCAATCAATGCTTCGAGAACGTTGCTTGTAAGCTATGATGTGTCGAATAATCGAGCAAAATATCAGGATAATTGCTACGTTTTCATGGCTTTACTCTTAGAGTATTGCAATACTTTCTTCACTCTGAGTGACTCTAGAATCGCTGTCGACATTAAGAAAGGATAAGGTCATATAAAAATCCTTAACAGCCTGGCAAATCTGAAGTATAACGTATTCCAACTTGAAATCAAAGCTCTCTCTATACATGCTACGTTATATTCTAATCTCAGTCATTTTTATACTAGGCACACGAAATCACTTCTTGGATTGCTACTATGTCATTATTTGAGTGAAAGTATTTTTCGCTTTTGATAAATCTGCCGTGAAAAGAAAATGCCAAACGGCCGAAGGGGGAAGATTTACGCACAAACCGTAGATCGTTATCGCCATGCAGGGAAAGATGAATGACCGCCAGTACCCTGGGTGCAAGAGCCTCAGTAAAAGAGTGGGACTGTGAAGGAGTAGGGCTCTGGTACCCACGGTTGGTCACCAAAGACAATATTTTACATCACTTTTAGATATTCCGATATAATACTAAATAACCTTTCTGCTTTGTGGTCATCTTCATTCTTCGTATAATTTGACTGCCTTCCTTCTGATATCGTAATCCAATAAGTCTGTGTCTTAGCCCTTATCCTTATATAATTTAATAAGTTAGCATTTCGCCTTCTAGCTTCCAGACAAGGCTTTTCGCATTTGTAAGGCTGTAAAGAGAATCTGCAATGCCTTTATGTATATCAGTTGCAGTTTAAAATAGATTATAACGTCATATTGCGGATTGAATTACAACGGCAAAATTTACCACGTGGCGGTCTTAAAAAGCTTTTTTGGCAGGTGGACACCTCAAACTGAAATTTCTTCGATTGCGGTTGGAAATTTCAGACTGGATTTCCTATCTCAATTAATTAAAAATTCAGTACTTGAATGACTTGTATCCGCTGTTATTTTCAACATTACTGAAAGCTCTGTTTTGTTCTATGTTGTGTTTATAATTATGATGAAAAGAAGCGTAACATTGAGAATGCTAACAATAAAAAACAATTTCTCGATGAATTTAGCAACATTATGATATGAAATAGGCGAAATTGCAAGTAGTTTATTAAGAGTCTTGCAAAACTTATAGCAAGTATAACTAAACTGTTTTTTAGATATTCTCATGCATTTTTTCAAACACATATTCTTCTTCTTCCAACTCCCTATCCTCACTTACAAAAATGACAGAAGTGAGGGAATAAGCAATATTTTTCCTGAAGTTCAAATTTATTATTTCCAATACTTAGACCACTTTTTAGTTTCTCAACCTATGTTTGATATCAACATCCTAGGCTTTCCTGAAATCAGTCAAATATACTCCGGAGTAACGACAAATAAATATTAGATAGTTTGTAACTTAAAACGATTTTAGTACATTTACAACGGTGTCATTAATCAGGTAATACAAAGAACCTATTAATAATATATTTGCAGGAGTTAAATAGTTTGTATAAATTCCTGGACTTGCTTTTGTTAATCAAAATGCTTTGAAATTTTTCCTTAAAAGATTGTTTGGAGATAAAATGCCTTTGAAATATACAAGAATCTTGCGTAGAATTAGTTTAATTAGTTGATAAACGAATGAATTTTAAATATCAACAATTTTATGTCGTATTGCAAATAACCCAGCAATATAGGATGAGTATAATATGTTCCTTAATATTTCATATTCACTGGTTTTTGCATTCTAGCGATTAGGAAATAGCAACGAATTCACGAAGCAGCCGAAAAAACTCACCTGCCTATACACAGATGTAAACACGTCGACAACAACCAAGCATGCCAAACTCTGCTCTTGATTTTAGCACGTCTCTAAGTGCATAAGGTGCTTGTCTCTCTCGGCATATAACCGCGCAGAAAAAGTAAGCAAATATGATTCATGTTGCATTTGGGATCATTGTTTTGCTTCGATTTCACTCTTGTGCTTTGTGAATTTAAGACCTTTACATTCATAATTTATGAACTGAGATCAATAGAAAGTATTCGGCGCTTGGATATCAGGGAAATTAAACACTTGACCAGGCTTGCCATCTTAGCTCGGTGGATTCCCACCGTGATTGGTTCATAACAGGTTATTTTGCTTCTTTAAAAACCGTACACTGAACTGGATGTAATGATAGAGTTTAAGACATAATTATGAAGGAAAATTGATATCAGGACCTAGTGAATCCCATGAATTCGGCTATCTCTCCGTAATGCAATAGAGTTGCTTTGTTTTATTCCATAATTATAACTTTTTTTTGTGAATCGAAAAAGGTGAAAATTGCAAATATTTTACTTCCAGCTTGAATGATTAATTTTTGTGAGTTTTAGATTACGTGCATCAATTTGAATTCGAATAGATTATGCCCAAAGCCGACCTTTCCTTTTTCTAAGAAACATCTTTGTACAATAAAGGATGCAACAAATATTTTTTTCACAGTTATTGAGTGAACTCTCCGGCTTTTTATCAACTGCCATGAACAGATTTCTAGTGAAAATGTATTTGCCAAAATTCATTTCCATACAAACAAAAAGGAGAGAATTGTTGCTTGCCTGAGTGATAAAGGCTAATCTGTCGTTCTGGTGTATCTTGAAAAACTTAGAATAATTTTTGTGTTAAATTCAAGTTTCTTTCATTAAGGAAATAGCACAAATTCCATTTTTCCCGAAGGTTTTATTTGATTCTACAGAACATCAAACAAGATTCAGGGCAACACTTAACCGCATTGATCTTTTGGTTATCTGTTGCAAGCATTATACATTTTGATAACGATTGCTCAGTTCCAACTCAAGGACTATTTACATCAGTGGGAAAAGAAACCTGCTCATTTATCTACCTGCTTTCTCTGGAACCACCATTATTTGCTGTTTGAACAACGACAATGAAATGGAAACTTACTTTCAAAACAAAAGAGATAATTTCTTTGCAAAAAGGTATCGTCTCGAATAGAAATGCTAATGCAAATAACAATTGAAAGGATCAAATGATAAGTGGTATATTTGTCGTCTAAGCTCTCGAAATTCTCAATTGCTTGATATGCAATAATAAATGTGAATTAAATGAACGTTCTCGAAAATTCCTGTGTTTTAGGAATCATGTAAATGATCGAATGTGACTCTATTATTTAAACTCTCCTAACGTTTAAGACTGCAAGAATTAAATCTGTTATATTTTAGAGAGGTAACGTAGGATAATTGAAGGAAATAATTTCAAATTAGCTTAGCTTGTCTCTGTCAGATTCTTTCATACAAAATGGCGCTTGGTTTAAGGGACCTGCAGCAAAGCTGTTAAACTGCCTGTTTAGTGTAATACTGAATACAGAGCGCGAGTCTCTATTTACCAAGAAACTTTCCCATAAAGACAAACTTAACTAAACTTGCTTCGATAGTTTTGAAATTCTGTAGGCAACGATCCTCTCCCCCGACCTCGTACGATGTTCACCAGCATTGTTATTTCCTCAAAGTCCAAACTTATTAATTGGTTTCATTTCGGAATATCATTTCGAATACAACACACCTAACCGATAAAGTAAGGTTGTTAAAGATTGGTGTTTTCGTCGGTACAAGACATTTGAAACTTGTGAAAATACCCTGTTAATCATTTCAAGTTAGCTATACCTGCAATTAAGATTTGCGTAATCAAAATCTCTATTGAAATGCCACTTTCAGTCCAGCCATGCAATACCACAAAAAATTGCACCAATACGTCTCAAACCTTGGAAAAACATTGCTTCAAAAGTTGGTCATACAGTCACAGAAACATATTATTGAAACAATGCTTACGTTAGATTAAGTAATGACCATAAAATAACGACAAACAGTTGATACATGTCTTACCAATATGACAGAGAGCTTTCTCTAGAAGCGTTTGACGACCTTCACGAGCTTGCTCGACAGCAGGAAACTGAAGGAACACGATGTACGTGTTCTTTTAAAACCGAGAGAATAGCAGGCTTATGAATGAAATATTAATTATTTTGAATGGGTTTATCCGGCCAAAATCTCCTTTTATGCTTTCTTGCGAATATTTGAATACTATGCAAAATTCTGCGCACATCTGTTTCATTTATGTAACAACTGGCATTGACACAGCGATGTAAGTAAGAATGTGGGAATTGATGTGGAAATGATGGTATTAATTTTATTTTATGCTATGTTTTAGTGGATTGTAATTCAAGTATCGTATCTTTTATTTGGCATACCGTAAAAACCAGACCCTAAGACCCTGAGACCTAGGACCCTAAAGTACTAAAATAAAAAGGACCCTTAACACCAGAAGGGTCTTCACCCCGATAAGACAATAGTTGATCCCAGTTGACTGTCATAATCGTACCATGAGGGTAAGGGTCCTTAGCTTAGACCCCATCCGCGATTGCCGTTGCAGTGTGATTAGAATTTTATTTCATCATCAGTGCAAGATCTGAGAGCTGTCGTTGAGACATTTATTTTCAAACTAATAAAAGCATAAAATATTTACTGTCTAATTTACATAGAGCTTTTGCAGATAATTTCTTCACGTGTGCTAATGTACATTGCCTTACACTTAGTTGAATTTAAAACAAGATTTGATCAACGCTCAATGTTTTCGTACACGGCAAAGAATTGCTTTCATTATGGAAAATTATACTGTAACATTATCTTATAAGAACTTTCAATTACCTTTTTTTGTACAAGGATCTTTGACGTCAAAGTGCCTGGGAGGTTCTCAATCGAGAATGGTATATCGAATTCTTGGTTAATTCCATAAAACTAGTATCGTATTGAAACTTTTCAAAGAGATACGCGCATAGATATGTATCGGAATTGTCAATAGATATATATCGGATATTATCTTCTCTTGCATAAAAAGTAATTATTAAGTACATCAATCGCTCCAAAGATTTATCGGAATAAATTAAACCATGAGATATGGCATAGGATTCCAGGGTCACGTGATTCAAACACATAACTGAACAGCATTGGAAAGATTTACATGCTGTTTAAAAGAAATGGTGCTTAATCTACTTGTGTATCTCTGGTCGTTATTGCTACATCTTAGAAAAACACCAGCCTTATTCAAAGAGCTCTAGATAACATAATCGTTATAACGCGAAAAAAACGTTTTTAGATATCTTAGATTTTGATCTGCCATCTTGAAAAAACAATCCTTTTCTTTAATCAATGAAGTGCAGATAGTTTTGAGATAGGATCTATATCGAATTGATTTTGGTCAAAAGCTTCACATTACCAGTGGTTGAGAGGAAGCAAATCCGAAAAGGGACAGTTTTCAAAAAATATAAACTCATATATAGAAACTTATATCTCAAATATAGGATATTGAGGAGAGGGCAGCTGTGCCCAGTTGCACCATAGAGCTCCTCCACCCTGCAAAAAAAGAGCTGATGATGATGCTTGTCATCTTTGCTCGAGCATCTGATTGTGAGTTTTTCAACTGTTACTAAAGGTACAATATATCCCTTTTATCCGATTTTTTTTATTTCACACTATACAGAAAATCGATGTTTTCGTTTCGCTGAAAGTAACATTCAAATCTTTACCTTTCCTTATTAGATTTTTTGCTGCTGCTGTAAAAAGATCTTAAACACCCAAACCATGTGAAAAGGAATAAGGTTACTGCCCTATAAAGCACGAAGCAACCTTAAGAATGAATTTCATTGTCTCACTCGATAAATGTGATATCTCGTTATCTAAGAAAACAGGACTATTCTCATCTCTTCAAACACATTTTCCTCTGCTTTGACACGAAAGACTTTAAAGTGATCTGAAAAGTAAACATGGATTTAACAGCTTATATCTGACACAAAATTTGAAGGGGTTCTTTTATCCTTTGTTTACTGACAGCAAACTAATTTGATCGACTTTGCAAGTGGAATCAAGGGAACGCATCAAATCTTAATCCCTTGGATTTGCCAATATTAATTCTAGTCTATACTATTGCACAACCATGAATAGTGAAATGGAATCCTTTTTTAAACTATAAAACTACATATGCTAAAACTCATTGATAGATTCTACGAAGATCATCTACCAACTTTTTATTTCGATAATCCAGAAGATTTGTTTCAGTTTCGATTATACTTTTTACTTGTGTTGAATCTTTTGAGATTCATTTTAAATCATTTAGTTCAATCATAATGGCAATTTGGTCCAATATAAATCAGCAAATGATTGTAAATAATATAATTTCAATTCCTAAACTAAGCATTAATTTCTGTGAATGAAAATTACAGTTATAGCACGATGTTTTGTATCGACTATCAAAAATTTATCGCCGTATAAAAATTTTAAAAATCCATCTAAGATTTCTCAATATTTCGGTCAAGATTTTGACGATAAAGACCCTGAAAATCCGTTGAATAAAGTTTTAATGTTTGCTGTCGAAACAATTTTCTGTGCAGATTGCCTTTATAGAAAAAATTTTATCAACATTTTTGCGTTGTAAATGACAAACTGTCATCACATTCCTCTGGTTGAGATGTCATCAGAGTATCGTCAGATTTCATAAAGAAAGGCAATCCTTATCTAAAAACTTGTAATATACAAATAATGTTGTTAATCAAGAACTCAAGAATAATTGACATTAAATTAAACTGGTTTTTATCTAGCTAAGTCTTCAAAGTAGAATTGTAAAAGAGCGGGCGGCAGTAGGAATGGTTTTCTGCTCATTGGTTCCTTGGCCATTGGCACGTGACTTTTGAAGTTGTGTGCTCCGTTGCAAAACTTGGGCGCATATATTTTCTATGGGAGTGTTCCAGTCAAATAGAATCACATTGCTTTAAAACACAACTTCTAAGAAACCTTGTTTGATGGTCTCTTGCAGACACAACGAGGTACCATTCAGGGCCGCCGAGAGAGGGGTGCAAGGGGGGGGGGGGGAGAAATTCTCCCAGAGCCTCAAGGTCTAGGGGGGCTCATAGATTAATAGATTTCATTTTAAGGATGGAATTAATCAGACATAGCAAATGTATGTCTAAAAGTAGCAATAAGGTTTAGACGATTGCAGGAAGATAAACAGTTCTGAAATGCATTTTAAGCTAATCTGAATAGCGTGGTTGCAAAACTTTCACGCTGGCTCCGCTTGCAGGGTGTCCCGTCTCTTGGTTTTGCCACAGGGCCCCCGAAACCTCTAGGCAGCCCTGCCTATATTGCCTGCAAGCGTCTGGGAGAACCAAAGCAACTCTTTCATTCTCATTAATTGTTTCCTCTTTCCCCTTTCAAACAATGTTGGAACTTTCTTCAAAAAAAATATACTATTTAAACGCAACCTGTACTTTAAAATCTAAGATGGATTCATTTCGTCATTTTCTAGGGTAAAGGGGGCAAATTAATTTTTTGTTGTTGGGGAGAATCAAAGATAGATCGAGAATTGGCAGAAACTACTTGTATGTTCCAAGTACATTTGGCAAGCACTGTAGTAGGACGATTAATAACAAATGAGTACTCAATTTGGACACTTCATGAAAACCTTTTGATGGCTTGAACTCGAATATACTGGTCAATTTTACTGATATCTTTTTTAAATCTAACCATATGCATCAAGATCAAATCTCTCAATGCCACGTCAAGTCTCTCTTTTTTATAGTAGTAATTTGTAAAATTGTATGTAGCTTCAACCTTTCTTTTAAAAGCCATGGGGTAGTCATAGTCTTTTGCTTCTCATAGTATAGCTCTTGTGGTATTGTAAAGTAGTTGTAGGTGAAGTAGTATAAAATATGTATTGTGCACTTTATAATGGAATATAAAAAAACAAAATTTGGACATAGCTTAGAATCTTCATCTTTGAACTAGCAAACTGATTGCTATTAGAAAACTTTGACTGCCTAGCATTACATCCAGCACTCTCAAATTGATTTCCATAAAGCTCTACCCCTTTTGTTTTGCTGAGATGAGGGTTGCCTATCTTGGGTGTACACAATACTTTGATTCTAGAGCCAAAGCAGCTCTATCAAAGCTTGGAACGAGTCCATTTTTCTATAAATGTGTCAATTTATCGAACTATGAAAGCTCCTGGTACTAAAAATGTTATACTTGAGCAGCAAGGCAGCTGCATTTGGGCCTCATAAGGCCACCACAAGTGGGAAATTACTGGTTTTAGTCTAATCCGTTTGGAAATTTTGCTTATAGACTAATCCACGCGCACAGTAAAAGAGAATTTATTATTAAAATTCGAAACAGAGCCTTGTTGTTTTGCATGCGTTGCACTTCCTAATTTATGTCTATAGCAAAGCTAAGAAATGAACTCCTATTTTTTATCACGATGAAAACAAGTACAAAACTCAAGCTGACCATTGTTGAGATGGAGGCAAAAAACATAACGTTATCGAGTTGCCTCCATACCCAGCATTACAAATATTCCAAAACTTTGCATAATACACTATAAATACACTAAAAATACACAATACAGAAAAACACAGCACAATACAACACAAAACAATACAATACAATACAATACAATGCAAGATGCAACTTTGTATAGGTCATCGTGTTAGTTCGGGACCACAGGATTCAATCTACCAGATATAGCAGACAATGATTAAAGATAATTCAAACTCCTATTCTGAGTTAAAAGTAAGTTCTTGCGTGACTCGCAACTCGATGTCTTGCCAGTCACAGCCATAAAAAGGTAATTGGAAAAATATTCATGATGATGTCCTAGGTGACATCAAATGACCTGTAGATCAACAAGCTTATTTAACAAATTGTAACCTTTGTAAGGTTTTCAGCAGGGATGGCGCTATGGGGTATCATGGAGAGGGGTGGCTGCTTCCCAAAAAGTTCCCAATGACAC